GATTGTGTCCGAAATTGTGAAAGGTTTGGACGCCAAGTCCAAAGAGGAGCAGATTAGGGATCTGGGTATGGAGAAGAGCAGGTGGAGAGGAGATTTGATAGCAATGTTTAAATATTTGAAAGGATGTCACACTAATGGGGGAAGGAACTTATTTTCTGCTACTCCAATGACTAGGACACATGGCGATGGATTCAAAACGTTTCTAAACATTAGGAAAAACCTACTAATGGTAATTGCTGTTCATCAATGGAAAATGCTGCCTGGGGGTGTGTTGGAATCTCCTTCTCTGGGGTTTTTTAAATGGAAACTAGTGGGCCATCTGTCAGGAATGCTTTGATTGTGTATTCCTGCGGAGGATTGGACTGGATGGCACTTGTGGTCTCTTCCAACTCTATGAGTCTATAATTCTATGAAATAGAATAAGGGACAATCTTTCCGGCCATCAAATAACCGACATCCCTTAAAACAGGAGACTCCTGACAATCATATAAAGGACAAAATTTTTTGGCTACTCAAAAAGGGACATACCATATATACTGGAGTATAAGCCGAGGCACCTTATTTTACAAAAAAAACAAAACAAAACAAAAACCTGGGAAAACGTATTGACTCAAGTATAAGCCGAGGGTGGGAAATGCAGCAGCTACTGGTAAATTTCAAAATAAAAATAGATACCAATAAAATTACATTAATTGAAGCACCAGTAGGTTAAATGTTTTTGAATATTTACATAAAACTGTAATTTAAGATAAGCCTGTCCAACACTGATCAAACCATTATTTTAACCTACTTCAATGTAAACATGCTTACATATCCTTCCACTAATAAGAGAGTAAAATAATAAATGTAATAAAATAATAGAATAAAATAATGTAAATGTAATAATAATAATAAATAGAGTAAATAATAAATGTAAGAAGAAGAAGAAGAAGAAGAAGAAGAAGAAGAAGAAGAAGAAGAAGAAGAAGAAGAAGACTCTAGCAGAAGCTAGTAAAGGTGGTTCCAGTGGTGACTGGCACACTGGGTGCARTGCCTAAAACCTTTGGCCTGCACTGAAACACAATCGGCGCTGACAAAATTACCATCTGCCAGCTGCAGAAGGCCATCTTACTGGGATCTGCATGCATTATTCGCCGATACATCACACAGTCCTAGGCACTTAGGAAGTGTCYGACGTGTGATCCAATACAACAGCCAGGAGAGTAAAAAAGCCAATGCGATTCTAGGTTGCATCAAAATGAGTACAGTGTCTAGACAAGGCATGGGCAAACTTCAGTCCTCCAGGTGTTTTGGACTTCAACTCCCAGAATTCCTAACAGCTGGTAGGCTGTTAGGACTTGTGGGAGTTGAGTCCAAAACACCTGGGGGACTAAAGTTTGCCCATGCCTGATCTAGATCAAGGAAAATAATGGTGTCCCTCTATTCTGCTTTGATCAGACCACACCTGGAATACTGTGTCTAGTGCTGTGGACTCATCTTGTTGTGTTTCAAATAATAATAACAATAACAACAACAACAACAACAACAACAACAACAACAATAATAACCCTCAAAATCGAACTGCAAAGTGGTCCCAGTGGGACCAGTAAAGGTGGTCCCGGTGGTTATTGGCACACTGGGTGCCATGCCAAAAGATCTCAGCCGCGTTTGGAAACAATAAACATTGACAAAATCATGATCTGTCACCTACAAAAGGCCACCTTACTTGGATCTGCGCGCATCATTCGAAAATACATCACACAGTCCTAGATGCTTGGGAAGTGTTCGACGTGATCAATACAACAGCAGAGTGATCTTTCTGCTGTGGACTCATCTTGTTGTGTTTCAAATAATAAACAACAACAACAGCAACAACAACAAGAGTAAAATAATAAAACTTTGACTCGAGTATAAGCGGGGGGGGGGGGGGGCTTTTTCAGCCTTTAAAAAAGGGCTGAAAAACTCGGCTTATACTCGAGTATATAAGATACTTTAAAATAGAGGATGCTCCCAGTCCTTTAAGGGGCAGATTTTCTAGAACACAAACAAGGGACATCACTTATGCTTAGGGACACCTAGCAAACTCTAGCATTTACTCAAAGGATTTGGAGCACAAAAGGCATCATGATGGATCAAAACAAAGGACTATCTAAGTATGTTTCGACTGTCCAGAAACAGGGCATAAAGGAGATAGTGGCCTCTTCTTTGAGTTCTCTAACATTTCTATTTGGCTGGCTTCGCGTTTTAAATGCCGTGGTAGTGGGTGCAGTGAGGAAGGGGTGTGAGGCATCTCAGAAAAACCTGCCACACACATGGCCTGCATATGTGAGAGTTGTCCCAAACAAGTTGCCATGTTGTTCTGTTTGTGCCACCTGTGGGCATTTGTGGGTGGGTGGAAGAACGGCTGTGGACAAACTTCAGACACGCCGGCCTATAAGACCCACACGCAAATGCTGTGTGAAACAGTGCCCAGGGCTTAAGCTCAAAAGGCTAAGGCTTTGGTGTTAATGTGTGGGCTGCACAGCTTAATTCTGGCTTTGAGACAAAATAGTCTGGCAAGGAGACGGGAGGTCAAGAGCTGGCCAAACTGGGCTTCTTTTTCTCCTTCTTTTTTCTCTTTGGCAGCATGCTTTTCTCTCTCTCATCAGAAACAAAATGCAAAGATCCATAGGAGCCGTGCCTTTTTTTTGTGGAAAGACCTCATGATGTTGTGTGTACACCTCATGATGGCAGGAAATTAAACTGCAACAAAATATATAACATTGGGACAAACCAGCAAATGATATCGTGGACCACCTGGTTCTGGATCTGCAGATTCCACTGACCAAGAAATTTATATAAAATAGCAAATGTGAATGTGCTGAAGTATTCACATGAATGTTACCACCATTTGATAATGTGGGATGGAAGTATTCAGCAGGAAAAACTTAGCTGTTATCAGGACCTCAAATATGAACTGCAAAGGCTCTATCATAAACCAATACAGGTGGTCCCAGTGGTCATCGGCACACTGGGTGCAGTGCCAAAAGAACTCAGCCAGCATTTGGAAACAATAAACCTTGACAAAATCATGATCTGTCAACTGCAAAAGGCCACCTTACTTGGATCTACGCGCATCATTCGAAAATACACCACACAGTCCTAGATGCTTGGGAAGTGTTCAACTTGGGATTTTGTGATATGAAATCCAGCCAGCATATAGATCTAATTTGCTGATACATATTGTGTTTTTGTGTCAGTAAAATAATGATAATAATAATGATACTCTCTCCCATAAGGGACTCAGGGTGGTTTACAGCAGAAAAACAGGCAAACTTTCAATGCCTTACCAAGTAACAAACAACATCAGGAATAATGCAAAATAATACACAATAATAGCAATAAACACAATGAACAGAATTAAAAGTTGAGATGCAGATAAACCAATTAGACAATAAACTAGGACATGTAAATATTAAATATACAGTAGAGTCTTGCTTATCCAACCTTCGCTTAACCAACATTCTGTATTATCCAACGCAGTCTGCCTTCCACCAGGAACCACGACTGTTTCAATACATTGTGGTGTTTTAGTGCTAAATTCGTTTGGTATTTAATAGGCTTTTTCTTAATCCCTCCTTATTATCCAATATTTACACTTATCCAACATTCTGCCAGCTCGTTTATGTTGGATAAGCAAGACTCTACTGTATAATATTAAAAACAGTTAGACATGAGTTACATATGAAGTGGCTAACACAGGTGTTTATTACAATGTATCATAGCCATCATATTCACCAGTGTTTCGGTGCAATAGTATCATAGCCCTTCTCCTCTCCATATACGAAAGTGCATAAGGCTGTCTTCAAAAGTTTCTTAAAGGAGAGGAGGGTGGAGGCCATTTTTACTTCTTTAGGGAGAGAGTTCCAGCGATGGGGAGCGATCACAGAGAAGGCCCCTCCTCTCATTCCCACCAACCGTGCTTGAGACGGGAGTGGGACTGAGAGGAAGGCCTCCTCTGTTGACCTCACTACACGGGATGGTCTCTATAGGGAGATGCGATTGGACAAATAGCCTGGACCCAAACCATTTAGGGCTTTATAGGTAACGGCCGGCACTTTGTATTTAGCCTGGAAGTGGACCGGCAACCAGTGGAGCTACTGTAGCATGGGAGTCGTCCTCTCATGATAGGACACTCCAGTTAGCAATCTGGCCACTGATGTTTGCACTAATTGCAGCTTCCAAACTGTCTTCAAAGGCAGCCCCAGGTAGAGAGCATTGCAGTAATCCAAACAGGATTTGATTGTGTTTGATTGTGTTTCCCTGCAAGGCAGAATGAGGTTGGAATGGATGGCCTTTGGGATCTCTTCCAACTCTGTGATGTTATGATTTCTATGCTGAGAGCAGGCATAGAAAAGAAAGGTCAGGCATCTCGAGGCCAAGAAGGGAAGGAGGGGAAGGGGTGCTTGAAGGCGTTTGCCCCCCTCCTCTCCACTCCACCAAGCCCACCCAAGACTCCAGCCGGCCCCTTCATGCACAAGGACTGTGGGAGACAATGCGTGTGGCTGTAGCCAGTTGGTTTGTTTTAAAGGCCGACATCTGTGGGCGATCTTTTTCCGTCACAGCCTGGATCCAGTTCCTGCCTTTGTCCTATTGTAAATGCCCAGACGGTGCTTGCTCTCCAAACCCCTCTGGCTTTTGTTGCCAGAAGCAAACACCCTGAAATTCCAAAATACACACACAAAGGCACCCCAAAGATCCCAGCCTTGTTTGGGGATGGAGGAAAGGTCTTTTGGTGCGATTCCAGGGACCCTGAGAGTGACAATGGGTGGGTTTGTTCTATGGGGAGAATGAGGAATCCCAAGGGGGTGGAGAAGGGACAATGGAGCCCTGTCTGGGGTGCCCGCCTCCTCGGCGGGTTTGGGGTCAAGGGAGCCGTGAGTCATGCCAAGGGGACGAAATGCCAGGGGGCATCAGCCAGAGGTGGGTGGGGGCTTTGCAGCTACTGCAGGGGAGTATGGACGCCATCCAAAAGAGGTGGGGAAGGCTTGGCGGCTTCACATCACATCACACAGGCATACAAAGAACGTCTAGCTGAAACGCACACAGAGCAGACAGCCGTCAGATTGAGGTTTCGAAGGGGCATCCAGATACACAGTTGGGAAGAAGCCAAAGCAGAGGGAGAGCAAAGGAAACAGGTACGGTGTGCATATGCGTTTGGAGAGGAGCCTTGTTGCACTATGCACAGACTGAAATTGATGGAGCCTTGATTGTGTATTCCTCCATAGCAGTTGGTTGGACTGGATGGCCTTTGTGGTCTCATCCAGCTCTATGATTCACTTATTCTATGCATGGGCAAGCTTGGGCCTCCAGGTGTTTGGGACTTCAACTGTTAGGCTGTTAGGAATTGTGGGAGTTGAAGTCCAAAACACCTGGAGGGCCCAAGTTAGCCCATGCCTGTTCTACATTGTAGAATGAATGGCATTTGATGCCTTTGGAACTGCCATGGCTCAACACTGTGGAATCCTGGGACTTGTAGTTTGATGAGGTTCCAGTCCTTAGAGAGAGAAGGTGCCATGATTCCTTTGCATTGAGACATGGCAGTTAAAGTGGTGTCAAGCGACATTAATTGGGAAATGTGCTTTTGGAGATGACAACTCCCAGAATGGCAATCTTTGTGTGCACTAACAATCATCACACTAGAGAGGGGAAAACCCCACTTAAAATCTGGTTTCTGCCTTTTGCAGAATTCTGGGGTTTGTAGTTTAATAAGGCTGGCACTGAGCTTCTGAGCTGCTGGGCTTGTTGACCAAAAGGTCACAGGTTTGAATCCGGGGAGTGGTGTGAGCTTCCGCTGTTAGCCCCAGCTTCTGTCAACCTAGCAGTTTGAAAACATGCAAATGTGGGTAGATCAATAGGTACCACTCCAGCGGGAAGGTAACGGCACTCCATGCAGTCATGCCAGCCACATGATGTTGGAGGTGTTTACGGACAATGTTGGCTCTTCGGCTTAGAAATGGAGATGATCACCATACCCCAGAATCAGATACGACTGGACTTAATGTCAGGGGAAAAACTTTACCTTTACCTAAGGCTGTTAAAGGCTCCTCCTTAAACTACAAAACCCAGAATTATGCAGGAGGCAGAAACTGGATTTTGTGGATTTTTTTCTCTAATGTGATGAGGCAACCAGACTGTCGAATGAATGGACTTCAACACCACTTTCACTGCTGTGGCTCAGTGCTTTGGGATAGTGGAGATGTTGTTTTGAAAGTTCTTTAGCATTTTCTGATGCATCACCGAAGCACATACTGCAAGATGCTTCTGGTATGTGCTGTATGGAGGAGAGCAAAATACAGACCACTTACTACAATGTAGTCTGAGCCCCGTCACATGCACAACGGAGGACCTTGCAGCGACACCAGAGGCACTTGAAGTGGCCAGCTTCTGGTCAAAGGACACTTATTATAATCGCTTTGTCATGGTGATCCACACTCTTGTTACATGCCAAATAGTCTACCGCAACATGCTCTAGTGGGACTGCCTTTGAAGACTGTTCAGAAGCTTCAAGTGGTCCAATGGGCAGCAGTCAAATTCCTCACTGGAGCAGCATACAGGGAGCATACAACTCCTTTGTCGCTTGGGAGTAATCCTGAATTCATTTGTTGTGCCAGCTCTACTGGCTGCCAGTCTGCTACCAAGCACAATTCAAAGTGCTATTTTTAGCCTATAAAGCCCTAAATGGTTTTGGCCCAGCTTGCCTGTCTGAATGTATCACCGCCTACGTACCACCTCAGAGATTAAGATCACCTGGGGAGGCCCTGCTCTTGGTCCTGCCTCCTTTGCAAGTGTGGTTGATGAGGATGAGAGACAGGGCCTCCTCAGTGACACCTCACCTATGGAACACCCTCCCCAGTGAAATCATATCAGCTCCCTCCCTCCTGACCTTTAGAAAGAAATTAAAAACATGGCTGTGGGACCAAGCCTTTGAGCAATAATTTAGTGCAATAAGTGGATACGGAATAAGTGCAGTTATGCTTGGGATGGCTTCTGGACTATGATTTTGGTTTGTGTGGCTTTAATTATTGGTTTCAATGTTTAGATGTTTGTAACTTTTTGGTTTTAAGGTATATGCATTTTATTTATATGTCTCTTTATGCGGCATTTAATTGTTGTGTACTTGTAAGCCGCTCTGAGTTCCCTTCGGGGTGAGAGGGGCAGGGTATAAACATAGTAAATAAATAAATAAATAAATAAATAAATGCAGATTGACATCCCTTTAACATCCCTTTAACTGCCATAGTCTAGTCCAATGAAATCCTGGGAGTTCTAGTTTCATGAGGCCTCTGCCAAAGAGTGCTGGGGCCTCACTAAACTACAGCTTCCAGGATTCCATAGCATTGAGCCATGTCTGCATTAGTTCTAAAGTACAGGTGCATCCTAGGAGAATTCTTAGCCATTAAAAATAATATATGGCTATGAATGTCAAAGAGAGAATATTTGGAGACTGTGGCCTTGTTCCTTTCAGTCTGCGACACCAAATCTTCTTTCCTTCCCTACAGATTTTGAATTTTGAATACGGTTCTGCTGGCTTTGATATGGGGAAGTCGGGAGCTTTCCTCACAGCTTTCCTTTGTAAGCAGCTCTTCGTTCTCTTCCTGCTGAAAGAAGCCGTTGGACAGAGCAAACAAACCGAAGGGTAAGAAAACAAAAGGGAAATATTTTAGAGTTGGAAGAGACTCCAAGGGCCATCCAAGTCTAACCCATTCTGTCATAAACACTTACTTATTTAGGAGATCCCTCATTGTCCAAGTAGGATAGTCTTCCAAGATCGGTGTACTGGCGGTGAGTCCATAGGTGACTGTGGGGCCCTATTCTTGATCTGCATCTTCGCAGTAAGGGCATTGGTTTCCAGGTGGAAGGCAGTCCCAGTCGGGGTTGGCTTGATATGCCTTCCTCTTGCATCTTCAAATTCTACAATACTGCTGGTCACAGCTGACCTCCAGCTGGAGCGCTCAAGAGCCAGGGCTTCCCAGTTCTGTTGTCTATGCCACAGTTTTTGAGGTTCACTTTGAGCCCATCTTTAAATCTCTTTTCCTGTCCTCCAACATTCCATTTTCCGTTCTTGAGTTTGGAGCAGAGCAACTGCTTTGGGAGACGATGGTCGGACATCCATACAATGTGGCCGGTCCAGAGGAGTTGATGGCGGAGGACCATCGTTTCAATGCTTTGCTTCTTCCAGCACGTCGACATTTGCCTGCTTGTCTTTACAAGAAATTTGCAAGATTTTCCAGAGGCAACACTGATGGAATCATTCTAGGAGTTGTCTATGACATCTGTAGATAGTCCACATCTCACAGGCATATAGCAGGGTTGGGAGGACAATAGTTTTATAAACAAGCACCTTAGTATCCCAATGGATGTCCTCAAACACTCTCTGCTTCATTCGGAAAAATGCTGCACTCGCAGAGCTCAGGCAGTGTTGTATTTCAGTGTCAATGTTGACTTTTGTGGAGAGGCGGCTGCCAAAGTAGTGGAAATGGTCAAAATTTTCTAACATTTTCTAACCCTCTGTCTAGAGACTTCCAAAGAAAGATAATTCACCATTATCCTCCCAGGCAACCAAACAACTCACTGTATCTACACTGTGGAATGAACACAGTTTGTCTCCACTGTAACTGCCATAGCTCAATAATATGGAATTCTGGGAGTTGTAGTTCGGCAGAGAAGACTCACGGTAAAACATTGAGCCATGGCAGTTTAAGGTGGTGTCTACATTTATTCTAAAGTGTAAATCAGGCATGGGCAAACTTCGGCCCTCCAGGTGTTTTGGACTTCAACTCCCATAATTCCTAACAGCCAGGCGTTGTGGGAGTTGAAATCCAAAACACCTGGAGGGCTGAAGTTTGCACATGCCTGGTGTAGATGCATCCTAAGTCATGGGTAATTGTTCATGTCTAAAACTATGCCATCTGCTGTGTTGGATGTTCTTTGGATGCCAAACTGTATATTTCTCATGCTCAGCAGAAATGGTAGTTTATTGCAATGCTGGAGATTTTTCAGATTGAAGGAAAACTCAGATTGAAGGATTCTTCATTTTATACTATTTGTTGCTCCATTCCCAAAAATAAGCCAATTTCTTTGCTGCTGAATATATATTCCACCCTTATCCCAATATTGAACCCCTCTTTTTCCCTGCAGCCGAGTCTGTGCTCGAAATACATTACGGATCCCCTTAGTCTACAACGAGACATATGCCAAACCTCAGCACCAGCCTTACTTAAAAATGTGCCCAGGACCTCGGATATGCAGCACTTACAGGTATGTGAAGACCATCTTTATATGGTAAATTTAGCAACAGAGAGATGGGTTTTTAGTCGCTGTGTGTTTTGAAGCCCAGGATCGATGAGAAATGTGTTGCACATTATGTCTGATATGAATGGACTAAAGAGGAAGGGGTTCAAAATACAAATGGGGAAAGAAGGAAAAGTATGGGTGCATCCTCACTGTAGAATGAATGCCGTTTGACACTTCTTTAATAACCATTTTTTGTGTGTGTCAAGAGTGACTTGAGAAAATGCAAGTTGCTTCTGGTGTGAGAGAATTGGCCATCTGCAAGGACATTGCCCAAGGGACACCAGGATGTTTAAAAAAATGTTTTTACCATCCTTGTGGGAAACTTCTCTCATGTGCCTGCATGGGGAGCTGGAGCTGACAGGGGAGTTCAACCCGTTCTCCCTGGATTTGAACCTCTGACATGTCGGTCTTCTGTCCTGCTGGCACAAGGGTTTAACCCATTGCGCCATCAGGGAGCATGAAATACTGGGATTTGGGAAGGCACCAGCACTCTGCCAGAGAAAGCTAAAGACTTTGTGAAACTACATTTCCCAAGAATGCAAACCCTTGAGCTATGGCAATTAAAGTGGTGTCAAACTGTACTTTTTCTCATTGCCTTTGATCAAATTCATTAAATTCAAAGTTGTAAATTGAGAGGGCTGACTGTACAGTTATATGAAATTTTAGAAAATAGTATTCATAACCATTTGGAAATCACAACCTTTTAGGAAAACATGTCCTTTCAGAGAAGAGCCAAGACCTGATTGAGTTGAATCTTCCCAAGTGGTATACAACCAGGTCTAATTATGCAAAGCAAATTGGCTTTCAGTTGTTAGACTGAATAAACCTGTTATCTCTGATCTGTTACGAAAACAGAGAATATGCCAGTGCATAAAATGTCTGTGCATCAAAAGTGTTTTTCTGTACCCAAAAATATATCTACCCTCCCATAAAACAACTTGTTTTATATCATACACTCAAGAGACAAAAATGAAGTATACTTGGTAAAAATAATATTCTTGGTTTACTCACAACTTCATGTGTTCGGCATACACAGGTATACAGCTTATCAGTCCAGTTTCAGATATGTTTAAGATAGTCTCCATAAGAAGATGGCACAGGGCATCTTTCTTACAACAACAGCAGGCAAGTGTTGGTTTGAGCAGTCCTAAAGTCTAATGGAGTCTGAGGTCTGAGCAGTCTCAGAGCAGAAGATGTGATTTGCAGCCCCTCCCACAATTTCTCAGGGAAACATAGAGTAAAGGAAAGAAAGTTTCATATCAGAACATACATACAATAAGTAAGCAACAGGATTATATACAAATAAAGAACTAGAGGAGGCTTGAGGAAGGTTGTAATTTCCAACTAGAAAAAGTTGAAATTCAAAATAAATCTGTTACCAAGCATTTTGGGTAAGAGATACATCACTCAACCAGCATTTCATGTTATGATATTGTATTTGGTGTAAATCATCTTTAGAGAACTTTTCTTGAAAGATGGCCTGAAAATACCCAAAATACAATAGTATAAAAGTGAGGAGTGGGTAGCATCAAATGCCAGCTTCTGCTTAAAAACCTCTACAGAAGGAGAGTCCACCATGCTTCAAGGCAGCAGAGTAGTGCACAGCTGAACGGCTCTTAAAGTTAGGAATTTCTTCCAAATGTTTAGGTGGAAACTCTTTTTCAGCACTATGAATCCATTGCTCAGTGTCCTAATTGCTGGGGCAGCTGAAAATATGTTCCTCTCCTCAATATGTTGCCCCCCCTCCTCAATATTGAGACTTTCTCTTGTAGGACTACATACAGAATAGCCACTCGGCAAGTGCGGAAGGAGATTTTGCAGAGCAACATCATCTGCTGCCAAGGTTGGAAGAAGCGACACCTGGGAGACACCAAGTGTGAGGAAGGTGAGTCCTGAATATCCCCATAGAGCACCATGGGATGCTAGTGCAGTATAACATATATGCAATCAGTATCCATACATTAAACCTTGATTTTGTCATTTTATATAAGAGACATCATTTTGTGCACAATGGGACTTGAGCATCCATGAATCTGGGTATTCACCAGGCTCCTAGAACCAAATCAAGGGCCAACTGTACTCCTGCTATTCCAGTCTCTGCAGAAGCTGACTATAGAATACATTACTCAGTCAGCATTTCATGTTATGATATTGTATTTGGTGTAAATCATCTTTAGAGGACTTGTTTTGAAAGAGGACTAAAAATACCAAAAATAAAATAGTAAAAAAGTGAAAAGTGGATGGCATCAAACACCAGCTGCATTATATGATAGGCTTGTGCATTTCGGCGGAACTTCAATCTGTTTGTGCTGGTTCGATTCCGGTATCCGTTTTCACACACCTTCCAAAAATGGGCAGGGAGCCAGATAGCCATTTTCGACCTGCAACTGAAAAATGCGCCTAGATCCGATCCATTGGCAGCAAAGGGGAACTTAACAAGGCTCCCCTTTCCATTCCTAGGGTCCTTACCTTTTTCCCTTCAGGGGAGCCTGGGTTTAAGCAATGGGGTTAAGGAAGCAGGCACAGCTTGTGTAAGACACGCCATGGCATTCTTCTATTCCGATTGGCCCAACAGGCAGGGCTCACAGGGAAACCCCATGTGAGCAGGACATGGCAGCCTCTTTGCGTGCTTCGTGATGCTGAATAGGGGAGGAGGAGCCGTGATCGGCTGCCACATGGTCCCGTTATGGACGGAAAAATGTGATGACTGGGCCCTTGCTGTTACGGCCATCTGACCAAGCTGTATTGGCCATAAAGGAACCAACCACTCCGAATCCATGCACAAGTCTATTATATGAGTCTGTACTGCCATATAATGCTGCTTAAGAAACTGCATTATATGGTAATGTAGATGGGGCCTGAATGTTACATTGCCTTTGGAACTTAACAACGGTTAGTGTCACCCCCCTTGTATAGCTGTTTTTTTTTTTTAATTTGGTTTGGTTTGGGGTTTTTTTTGTAGCAATATAATCTCATGCAGTAGGGGAAGAGAGAAATCTCCTGGTTCAAGTGCTACTTTTTGCTACTGCCTTTGTTTTGTTTTGTGTGTTGAGAAGACAGGGAGATGGATGGGGCCTGGAGCAATCTAGTTTATAAAGAAACTCTTAAAAGTAGCCATGATGTTTACATTTTAGAAAGGAAAAATGCAACTATAACAATGAGTATAAATGTTTGGAACAATAATACTAACCATGTAATTTTTAAAAAGAGAGTTAGTATGGTGTAGTGCAGTGGTTCTCAACCTGTGGGTCCCCAGATGTTTTGGCCTTAAACTCCCAGCAATCCTAACAGCTGGTAAACTGGCTGGGATTTCTGGGAGTTGTAGGCCAAAACACCTGAGGACTCACAGGTTGAGAACCACTGCTCTAGTGGCTTGAGTGCTGTACTATGGCTGCATCTACACTGCCATATGATGCAGTTTCAAATTGCATTATATGGTAACTGTGGACTCATATAATGCAGTTTAACTGCTTTTATTTATTTATTTATTTACAGTATTTATATTCTGCCTTTCTCACCCCACAGGGGACTCAGGGCGGATTACAATGTACATATACATGGCAAACATTCAATGCCATAGACACACAACATATATAGACAGACACAAAGAGGCTATTTAACATTCCAGCATTTGTGAGGTATTCTGGCCACCAGGGGAGCTGTTGCTTCACTGTCCATTAGTGACAATGATGGAGTACTTCCTCATTCTTTTTGCATGGTTGCTGGAGATTTTTATGGAGTCGTAAATTAGTTAAATTAGCCTTTTGAACTGCAATATATAAGTTTTCAGTGACCATACAATGCAGTTCGAAACTGCATATGGCAGTGTATATGGGGCCTATAACGCTGGAGAGAACAGGACTTGAATATCTGTTCAGCCATGGAAACTCACCAGCTGATATTAGGGAAGTCCCACTTTCTAAGCCTCAGATGAAGCCAAAGACAAAACCTGCTTCTGAACAAATCTTGCCAAGAAAACCCAGCCTTAGGGTCATCATAAGTTGGACATAATTTAAAGACACATAGCAACAAGAATTTTTCAGTTGTTTATGGTCCCCTAATTCACTGGGGATCCTGCCTACCTCAGTGTTGTCAATGCAATACCAAGAGTTTATTGCTTTCTCCCTCTAGCTATGTGCCACAAGCCATGCCAGAATGGAGGCACCTGTGCCAAGCCAAACCAGTGTCAGTGCCAACCAGGATGGGGTGGACGGTACTGCCATGTTGGTAAGTGGAAGCTGTTTTTTTTTTTTGCTCTGTTTGTCCCATCTTCTTTTCCTCCAGTTTGGTGGCTGACATCAGCTAGCTCTGCACTGTAGAATGAATGCAGTTTGACACCACTTTGACTGCCATGGCTCAGGGCTATGGAATCCTAGGAGTTGTGTTTTGATGAGGCGCCAGCCCTCTTTAGCAGAGAAGGCTAAAGACGTTGGAAGGTTAGAACTCCTATAGCATTGAATTGGTGTCAAACTCTTATTAATTCTACAGTGTAGATTCAGGTTGTAGTGACTGGGGAGTTCACACATGCAGGATTTGTGGCGTAATGTAAAAATAAACCACATGTAGTCCACGTTTGATCAGGCCACATACTGCTTTGCCAGAGAAAGAAAATATGCCACGCAGATGAACAATAAATAACAAGTAGTTTATTGTTTGTAGTTTGGAACAACATATATACAATGCAGTCAGTTGCATCAACTCACATAATGTATTTTATGAGAGATTTAAAATGGTCTCTCTTTGTCCATGTGGATAAACTCCTTTCAGCTGTTCAAGAAGCGAGAGCACGCTCCAAACTCTGTCTCTCTCTGCTTCACTCTGCTTCTCTCTAAGCACCTGCATAGATGAAGCCTGAACAAAAATGTAACAGTAACCAAAAGTCCCAGCCTCAGCTGGCTCGCACCACAAAGCTCAACCAATCAGCTTCGTGCATCTTATTTTACAGTTGACACAAACACACTCATGGATTCTTTGCATGCTCCAACAGGATTCACCTGCTCCTCGGAACTTGTTCTACGAAGTCAAAAGGCACTTTTTCTAGTCTTGATTTCTCCCAAAAGGGCTATAAGCATGAGGCTTCCTGGGCTTACCTATTACAGTAATAGTACAGAATATTTAATATTAGGTGTACAAAATGATGACAGCAGTAAGAGAATACACAAGGACAAACACACAGGTCCCAGATGCCAAGATGACTAAACTGAGACTGTTGTACATTGGACATATCGAGAGAAGACAATATTTACTAGAAAAGATAATACTTGGAAAGGTAGGAGGAAAAGGAGGATGGATGGACTCAATAAAGGAAGCCATGCAAGAAATGAGCAAGGTGGCTGAGCATTAAGTGACTTGGAGGTCTCACATTCTTCAACCCCATCTACAATGTCATATAATGTAGGTTGAACTGGATTATGTGGTCAGTGTAAACTCATATAATGCAGACTGAGCCACATCGAACTGGATTATATGTGTCTACACTGCTGTATAATCCAGTTCAGTCTGCATAATAATGGCAGTGTAGATGAGGCCTTAGGCTTGCCATCAGTCAAAGGTGACTTGAATAATAGAAACATAGAGCTGGAAGAGATCCCAAAGGTCATCTAGGCCAACTCCATTCTGCCATGAAGGAACACACAATCCAAGATACTCCCAACAGATGGCCAATTAGGGCTCTTCCACACAGCCATATAACCTAAAATATCAAGGCAGATAATCCACAATATCGGCTTTGAACTGAATTATGGCTTTGAACTGAAGCAATGGCTTCAAACTACAAGAAAGGAGATTCCGTCTGAACATGAGGAAGAACTTCCTGACTGTGAGAGCTGTTCAGCAGTGGAACTCTCTGCCCTGGAGTGTGGTGGAGGCTTCTTCTTTGGAAGCTTTTAAACAGAGGCTGGATGGCCATCTGTCAGGGGTGATTTGAATGCAATATTCCTGCTTCTTGGCAGGGGGTTGGACTGGATGGCCCCTGAAGTCTCTTCCAACTCTTTGATTCTATGATTCTATGATTCTATCTGAGTCCACACTGCCATATAATGCATTTGAATGTGGATTTTATACAGTTGTGTGGAAGGGGTCTAAGCCTCTGCTTAAACCCTTCCAGAGAAAAAGACCCCAACACAGGCACTTAAGAACTGTAATAATCACACACAGAGCTTCTTAAACTTGTTATGAATTCTTTCTCTCTCTCCCTAGATGTGGATGAATGCCGCGCACCTGTTGATTTTTGTCAACACCACTGTGTTAACACCGAGGGGAGCTTTCACTGCCAATGCAATCCTGGCTATGCCCTGGAGCCAGATGGCAAGAGCTGCCGCGTCCTTCCCACAGCCCAGGCTGCCCCTTTGCTCAGCAACAAAGGTGGGTACCATTATGATGGGGGGACAGGTTAAAGCTGGAGAAAATTACAGAGTATAGCATCATTATTTGTAGAACCATATGGTGTAATGGTTTTCAAGTACTATTCCATTTTTTTTTTAAAAAAAAATGTATATCACAGTGCTCTAACCTTTGGTCCTCTAGTTGTTTTGGTCTTCCAGAAATCCCATAATAAGGAATTGTGGGAGCTGAAGTCAAAACACCCGGAGGACCAATAATAATAATAATAATAATAATAATAATAATTTATTTATACCCCATAACCATCTCCCTGAAAGGAACTCAGGTGGCTCCCAAAAGCACTCAATAGTTCAAAAATAAAAATATAACAAAGTACATAAAGAAAATAACACAATAACAATAAAGTCCGCATAAATAAATTACATAAAACATTATATAAAACCCCAACCGACTTAAAAAATTCAATAAAACGCAGCAGTGGCTGCGGATATAAAAATAGACTGTAATTTATATTAGTCCTGTAAAGTGCTAGGTCCTCAAATATAACAGAAAGGGTCAAAGGCGTGTTTGAAGACTCATGTTTTCAAATTTGTTCTGAAAACTTGAAGGGTGGGAACCACTGGTCTACATTGATCATTGAATGCAGTACCACACTGCATTATATGGCAATGTAGATGGTCCACAGACACCTGTACATAGAATCCTAGAGTTGGAAGAGACCTCATTGGCCATCCAGTCCAACCTCCTGCCAAGAAGCAGGAAAATCGTATTCAAAGCACCCCCAACAGATGGCCATCCAGCTTCTGTATAAAAACCTCCAAAGGAGACTCCACCATACTCTGGGGCAGAGAGTGTGGTGTGAGAGTTCCACATACACGAGTTATTTTTTTAATTTATCATGTCAGGGGCAGACCGTACAGTTGCATTGCACTTTTTTAACGAACAAACAAACATACATGAGTTGACACAGCTGCTGCAATTTTTGAGGTCTTAGGTCTATGCCTGTTAAGTCATAAAGACACCTGCACTCCATCATTTGGCATCACTACAAAGATTTGTGCATGGGAAAATACTACAGCAATCTTCAAACATTTCAAGGGGTACTACACTGATGCAGGAACACAAGTATGTACTAGTTGGGTGTATAGGACCTTCAGAAATGTTTTGGAATTCAGATTTCAGGTTTCTTTCCAAATGTTGGAATACCCATAGTTGCATAATGAGATATCTTGGAGAGGGGACCCATGTCTAAACACAGACTTTTCAGAAATTTAAGATGTTATTATCATGTGGACTTTGGATTCCAGATTAGGAATTTTCCTTTGCTCCAGGGAGTAAGAGATCAGTCAGTGATTTCAAAACACTAGAGAGAATGTTAACTACATTTGGAGAACCTCCCAATAAGTAAACTGTTTGAAGTAAAATTCAAGTGCCTCATAAAGCAGTGGATTTCCTACAAAGCCTTAAATAAAATACTTTAGCTTTTTACACAAGTGGTTAGATAGCCACCTATTTGTTGCTATTATACCTACTGTTGCAAGCTGTTATTTCAGGCTTATGGCAACCCTAAGGTAAACCTATCATCATCATGGGTTTTCCTTGGCAAGGTTTGTTTACAGCGGGTTTGTCAATGGTCAGATCTACACTGACCAATACTGTGGGGCCGATCTGGTGTGCCCTATGCTGAATTGGTGGCAGGTATGGTCTTGCCCCATTACATCAGCCCCACGCAACATTCAGCCATCATGGGGCTGATACAGCTCTATACCAACCTAAGGAATCGGTATGGATGTGGCCATTGCCTTCCTCTGAGGATGTGAGAGTGTGTCTTGCCAGGGTCATTCAGTTCGTTGCTTTGGCTGGATGGGGATTTGAACCCTGTCCTACATGATGGCTCAGCACTCAAGCCATGATGCCATGCTAGCTGACTGGACATTATAACTTTTGTTTTGTTGTGTTCAGAGTATGCAGCAATACTGATCATGTGAGGTTGAATTTGTGCATTTTGCTTAGGGTGCCGTTGCTGCCATGACTAAAGAGGGTGGCGCATCTAGTTTCGCAACTTCCTTGTCTCTTCTTACAAACAGTTATAATCGTTTTCGGAGGTTGTAGAGATTCTCAAACTGGGCTCCTCCAGATGTTTTGGACTTCAGCTCCCACAGTTTCTAACAGTTGGTAAGCTCGGTGGGATTTTTGGGAGCTGAAGTCCAAAACACTTGGAGGAGCAGAGTTTGAGAAACACTGTACTAGACAGTAGACACCCAAAGGCATCTGTACTTTGCTACTCTGCTGCTGAGTATGTATGCCCAGTGTGGAACACATCTCACCACGCTAAAACAGTGGCTGTGGCTCTTAATGAGACATGCCGCATTATCATGGGGTGTCTGCATCCTACACCACTGGAGAAATTACTCTGTTTAGCCGGTATTGATTCACCAGACATCCGCCGGGAAGTAGCAACCAATAATGAAAGGACCAAGGCAGTGACATCTCCGGCCGATTCCCTGTTTGGATATCAGCCAGCACGCCAACAACTTAAATCAAGAAATAGTTTTCTAAGATCTACAGAGACACTTTCTGGAACATCTCAGCAAGCGAGAGTCCAAAAGTGGCAGGCTCAAACCCAGAACTTCAATCAATGGCTGATACCAAATGAGAGACTCCCTCCTGGGCATGCAGAAAACTGGGCAACTTGGAAGGCGCTGAACAGACTGCGCTCTGGCACCACGAGATGCAGAACCAACCTTAAGAAATGGGACGACAAAGTGGAATCCACGACATGCAAGTGTAGAGAAGTGCAAACCACAGACCACCTACTGCAATGCAACCTGAGCCCTGCCACATGCACAATGGAGGACCTTCTTGCAGCAACACCAGAGGCACTCCAAGTGGCCAGCTACTAGTCAAAGGACATTTAATAGAATGCCAAGTTTGCAAACTTTGTGGTTTGTTTGTTTGTTTTTAATGCAATACAGCTGTTTGGTTCGCTCCTGACACGATAAATAAATAATTACATGACAAAAATATTTTAAACCTCTACCCTGTCAGCATCCCACGTAAAGCCACAGATTTCCTTGGTAAACACAAGTTTCTAGCCTTTAGGGTTGGGAATGGAGTCATGGTGAATGTTAGGTCAGAAACCTGACAAAATCTTAAGAGGTCAGAAAGGAGAACTTACAAATAAAAAGTTGAGCAGAGCTTTGAAATGTTACATGTTTACACTACAATCCCCAGAGTCCCCCACTGACATGAAGGATTCTGGGAGCTGCAGTCCAAAAAGTTGCACTTTGTATAAATGTGGAGTCAGGCTCTGACTTTTGGAAGAACTCCTTATTCCGATTCCATGACAAGCAGAATAAATGAAGCAATAACTGGGAGGCACAGGTTGAACATTCCTTATCCGAAATGCTTGCGACCAGAAGTGCTTTGGGTTTTTGGGTATTTTTGGAACACCTTCCTTTGCATATAATGAAATCTCTTGGGGGGTGGGATCCATGTCACTGACAGATATTCATTTATGTTTCATACATTACTCATAAGCATAGCTTGAAGGTAATTTTATCCAATATTTTAAATGATTTTGTGCACGAATCAAAGTTTGTACAGACTGAATCATCAGAAAGCAATAGTTTCATCTTTTTCAGCCACCTGTGTGGGAAGGAGCATTTTTGGATTTCTGGATAAGATATGCTCAACCTGTAAATGTATAGAAGTTCTGTTTTGTTTTTCTTAGCCTGCCTTTCCAATTTAGTCATGTGCGTATAAAGTCATGGGCCAATATCCTGAGGTTGAGACCCTGAAAATTGCAGAATACAACTTCGGAACTCAAAGACGGATCCAAGGAAAGCAGCCAGAGTGTATCTCTACATTGTAGAATAGACACAGTTTGACACCACTTGAACTGCCATGGTTCAGTGCTATGGAATCCTGGGAGTTTTAGTTTGACAAGGTATTTTGTCCTATCTGCCAAAGAGGGCTGGAATCTCACCAAGCTACAACTCCAAGGCATTGGACCATGGTTGTTCAAGTCGTACCAAACTGCATTAATTCTGTAGTCTGGAGTTTGTTGAGAAATCACCCCTTTCTGAAGTCTTTTAAGAAGAAGGTATGTTTGCCATGCTTGTGTCAGTGGTTACATTTCAGTATCTCCCACAATACCAAAGAAAACTTTTTGAAAAAGGGAATGGTTAAATAGTTCCCTTTTCTCAGAATGTTTTTCAACTAGAGGTTGAAGGACTTCCTAGAAACTACACAAGGCCTTTTCCTGTTCTAAAAAGCTGACAATTGTTGTTGTGTGCCTTCAAGTTAGTTCCAATTTCTGGCACTCTTAAAGCAACCCTATCATTTTCTGTGTCTGAGATAATGTGATTTGCCCAAGGTCATAAAGTGAAGCTGATCACAGAATTGCTCAGGGGACCTAGACCAGGGGTCCTTAAATTACGGCCTGCGGGCCACATGCAGCCCACTTATCTGGCGTGCTGATGAGGAGGCCTCCCTCTCAGTGCCCGTAGGGCCTGGCAAGTGGTGAGGGGCTTCACGCAAAGCCAGACTGTGCTGTGCAGCCTCCCTTGCCTGACTCATGCTGCCCATCAAGCCTGGCAAGTGGTGAAAGCCAGGCGAGGGAGGCTGCACTGCATGGCCTGCCTCATGTAAAGCCTCTCGCCTGGCTTGCGCCGCCTGACCTAGACATTCCTAGATAGAATCCATAAATTAAATCTGCCAATAATCAAATTAAGCCTAATATTGATGGCCAGCTTATTTATTTACTTATCATGTCAGAAATGAGTTGAGGGGATAGTTATAATGTATTTAAAAACACAAACAAAGTTAAAAACTTGGCATTATATTAAATGTCCTTTGACCAGAAGCTGACTGCATGGAATACCTCTGGTGTTGCTGTAAGAAGGTCCTCCATTGTGCATGTGGCAGGGCTCAGACTGCATTGTAGTAAGTAGTCTATGGTTTGCTCTTCTCCACATGCTCATGTCGTGGACTCCACTTTGTAGCCCTATTTCTGAAGATTAACTCTACACTTTGTAGTGTCAGAGTGCAGTCTGTTCAGCACCTACCAAGTTGCCCAGTCTTCTGTGTGTGCAGGGAAGAGTCTCTCATCTGGTATCAGTCATGGATTGAGGTTCCAGGTTTTAGCCTGCCACGTTTGGACTCTCGCTTGCTGAGGGGTTCCTGCAAATTATCTCTGTAGGTCTTAAAAAACTATTTCTTGACTTAAGGCATTGGCATGCTGGCTGACATCCAAACAGAGGATGGGCAAGAGAGGTCAATGCCTCGGTCCTTCCATTATTGGCTGCTGCTTCTCAACAGATGTCAGGTGGTCCAATACCAGCTAAACAATGTAATTTCCCCAGTGTGGGGCGTAGGTATCCTGTCATAATGTGGCCTGTCTCATTAAGAGCCACATCCACTGCTTTAACATGGTGAGATGTGTTCCACACTGGGCATGTGTCTTCACTATGAAAGGTGCAAGGGCAGATGTCTTCGCTGTGCCTGGTTGTGATCCCCAGGTTGTGCCAGACAGCTTGTGTATGATATTGTTTCTAGCACCCACTTTTTGTTTGATAGTCAAACAGTGCTTCTTGTAGGTCAAAGAACAGTTCAGGGTAACTCCCAGGTATTTGGGTGTGCTGCAATGTTCCAGTGGGATTCCTTCTTAGGTAATCCTCAGAGCTCGAGATGCTTGTCTGTTCTTAAGGTGAAAAGCACACGTCTGTGTTTTAGATGGATTAGGAATCAGCTGGCTCCTTGTCTTTGAAATCCACAGCCAAATGCATAATACAATCAGCCATGTAGATTTGCAGGTTTGACTATTATTCTGATTATTCACAGATTTAAACTCTTGGTCCTCCATGCAACTTAATAATAATAATAATAATAATAATAATAATAATAATAATAATAATCTTTATTTGTACCCCGCTACCATCTCCCCAAGGGACTCGGTGCGGCTTACATGAGGCCAAACCTCATGTAATGTCAACGTTTGCTGGAAGATGACTATAGGGTCATAATGTCTGTCCAATGTTGATTACAAAATTATTTCTGCAGGGCCTGGTGATTTCTAGAGAGGTGTTCTTTTTAGCAGATCTGAACAGGTGGCTAATTACTACAGTCCTTGGTGGTCTCTAATGCATAGGGTTAATCAAAGTCAAAAGTAAATTTGGTAGCAAATATCATGGTGTTGTTGAGTGTCTTCACGTTTTTCTGACTTATGACGACCCTAATAATGGGGTTTGTTTTTCCCATTTTTTGAGATTGAGAGAGTGGGACTTGATTAGGGTCACCTGGTGGGTTTCCATGGCTGAGTGTGGACTCAGATCCTAGTCCAACACTCAAATCACATTCACTATACTGGTTATTTCTAGTTGTGCTCCTGACCCAATTTCTTTCCTCATAACATATCTGGGATTTCATTCCAGCTCTACTCATCCTTTTTCTCTCTCCTTCCAGGTCAAGTTTTAGGGATTCAAGAGACAATCCCAAATGAGATCCAGGAGCTTCAAGCCAAAGTGGAGCAGCTGGAAGAGGTGAGATCTTTGTACAGTTGACCCTCCACACTTGCAGCTTTGACTCTTGCTGTTTTGATTATCCATGGATTTGATTAATATTGTTCTCTGAAGGAATCTCTTGGCCATCCAGTGTGGTCTACATTTTCTAATCATTCTAGAGAACTGAGAGATTCCTACAGAAAACAGCAATCTTGGAACCTTTAGACACTTCAATGCAATTCTATGTTCAGCTTACAGCAGAAGTTGACTATGGAAATGTGCTGGTAAACCTAGAAGGCTTATGAATGGAAGACCTGCAAGATCCTTGGTTATTGTCTGTCCTGCTTAGGTCTTGCAAAATCACGGCCAGAGTGCTCCACCTGTCTTATATCTTTTCCTATTGGCTTCCACTTTGGGTGCATCTACACTGTAGAATTAATGCAGTTGGGCATCATTTTAACTATCATGTCTCAAGGTTATGGAATCCTAGAAGGAACCAGCATTCTTTCACAGAGAAGATAAAAGACTTTGTAAAACTACAATTGGACCAGGCTGTGGTGCAGCTAGTTAGTAGCCAGCTGCATTAAATCACTACTGACTGAGAGGTCATGAGTTCGAAGCCAGCCCGGGTCAGAGTGAGCTCCCGACTATTAATAGTCTAGCTTGCTGTTGACCTATACAGCCCAAACAACAGTTGCATCTGTCAAGTAGAAAATATAGGTACCGCTTTATGCGGGGAGGCTAATTTAATTAATTTACGACACCATAAAACCTTCCAGCAGCGTGCATAAGAATAAGGAAGTACTCCATCAAGGGGTTGGTGTCACAAGTGGACAGTGAAGTAGCAGCTCCCCCTGTGGCCGGAATCAAGCATACCCTCATGAAGCCAGAAAGCTGGAATGTTAAATTGCCTCTGTGTCTGTCTATAGATGGGAGCCCTCAGTGGCGCAGTGGGTTAAAGCGCTGAGCTTCTGAGCTTGTTGACCAAAAGGTCACAGGTTTTAATCCAGGGAGCAGCGTGAGCTTCTGCTGTCAGCTCCAGCTTCTGCCAACCTAGCAGTTCGAAAACATGCAAATGTGAGTAGTTCAATAGGTACCGCTCTGGTGGGAAGGTAATGGCGCTCTATGCAGTCATACCGGCCACATGACCTTGGAGGTGTCTACGGACAATGCCGGCTCTTTGGCTTAGAAATGGAGATGTGCACCACACCCCAGAGTTGGACACGACTGGACTTCATGTCAGATGAAAACCTTTACCTACCTGTCTATATAAGCTGTATGTCTAATGGCATTGAATGTTTGCCATGCATATGTGCATTGTAGTCCACCCTCTGTCCCCTGCAGGGTGAGAAGGATGGATATCAATACTGTAAATAAATACATACATACATACATACATACATATATACATTCTATAATTCCAAAACATTGAGCCATGGCAGATAATTCAATTTGTTGCTATTCAATTTGTTGCTATTGTGTGCTTTCAAGCAATTTTGGACACTATTATAGCAATTTCTGGGGCAGAGAATGAGTGACTTTCCCAAGGTGACATATTAGGGTTTCATGGCTAAGCAGGGTTTCGAACCATGGTCTCCAGAGTCATGATCCCACACTCAAGCCACAATACTATGTTGGCTTCTTGCCTTTCCTAAGAGTCATGCCATCTTATGATGTACCCCAAATTTTAAATCTTGTGTGCTATTGTTTATTGGTTATTGTTTATATGTGATTTATATTAATTGTATTGTATTTATTGTTTTTGTTTATTGCTTTGTTTTATTGATGTGTTATTGGGCTTGGCCTCATGTAAGCCACTCTGAGTCCCTTGGGGAGATGGTGGCGGGGTATAAATAAAGTATTATTATTATTATTATTATTATTATTATTATTAAGTATGGCAGTGCGACTTTTGCCAGCTTTCAAAAGAGCCTAGATTTGCTGTTCAGGCTCATTCAAGAAAATGATTTTTGTAAACCCGAGGAAGACAATGAGACCCTGAGCGAAAATGACAGACAGAGAACAGAACATATGCTGCCAGCATTTCAGCATGACATTCCTCCAGGCAGCAAAGATCAGCACGGAGGCATTTCGCAGAAACGCACAGAATGAATCCAGCTTTTGATTTGCAAGGCGTGTGCGCAGAAGGCATTTTGGGAATTCAGAGGGACAAAGGACCTACTGCATCTGCCTGAGAACTTGGAAAAATTACTTTTTGGATTCTGTTTTCTGGAATCCTGCAAACACTGCGGCCACGATGCTGGGTGATGGAATGCTAGCGCGAGTGTGCAGCCATCCTTCCACAATTGCAGTTTTGACTTTTTGTGGATTTGATTGTTCACAGACTTTTGTTAAAAGTGTTTCCTTTGGGAATATTCAGGTCTTCTAATGTGACTCTGTGGTCAACTTTGGTCTTGCTGGAGGAACTAGAGATTTTTAGAAATAATACTTCTCTAGCAATCCCTAGTTCTTCCAGTGCAATTCTGCAGTCAGTTTCCAGTAGATGTCAACCACAGAGATGTGTTGGAAGATGTAGAAACTTCTAAAGAGGTGTTATCTCAGACAATAACAGATTAGAGAGATGGGCCAAAGTGAAGTTTAACAGTGACAATGCAAGATACTCCACTTAGGCAGAAAAATGGAAATGCAAAGATACAGAATGGGGATGATGCCTGGCTCTAGAGCAGGGCATATGAAAAAGATCTTGGAGTCCTTGTGGACAAGTTAAACATGAGCCAACAATGTCATGCAGCTGCAAAAAAAGCCAATGGGATTTTGGCCTGCATAAATAGGAGTCTAGTGTCTAGATCCAGGGAAGTCATGCTACCCATGCTCTATTCTGCCTTGGTTAGACCACACCTGGAAACACACTGTGTCCAGTTCTGAGCAATTGAAGAGAGATGTTGACAAGCTGAAATGTGTCCAGAGGAGGGCAATTCAAATGATAAAGGGCCTGGAGAACAAGCCCTATGAGGAGAGGTTTAAAGAGCTGGGCATGTTTTTATGATTTTAGAGATTTTTTTAATACTGGCATCTTTCAGCTGTGTGTGAGTACAAGCCAGTAGACAATAGTCCAGCACTTACCAAAAACAGAGGGCTGGCGTGCATATTTATCAGTACTGTTTATAAGACGGAAATAAGACAATTGCACTCCCTTCAGTGGTGTTTTGATTCCCATTGATAGTGTAGTATGGGCAGAGGGGACATCTGCAGAAAGTGGGTAACTGGTTGGCAAGACTTGTGCGGTTCTAAGAAAATACTGGCATTGAAGCACCCCTTCCCTGTCCGCCAACAGCGCCTTGAACGTGCCATCTCCGTCTTACCCTCAACCCTGGAGCCCGCCCAATTGAAAGAGATGTGGAGTCGCCTCCGTTACCTGGACCAAGTGGAGTCGCTCAGTGACCAGCTCCTTTTCCTTGAGGAGAAACTGGGAGACTGTGAGTATCAGAAAGATCTCAAGATATGTCTCCCTTCCTGCCTGCAATTAAAACATGTTAGAATCATAGAGTTGGAAAAGATCACTCAAGGACCATCCAGTCCAACCACATTCTGCCAGGCAGGAATACAGCTTCTAAGCCCTCCTGACAAATGGACATCCAACCTCTGTTTTAAATATCTCTAGAGAAGGAAGTTGTTCCTAATGTTTAGTTGGAATCTCTCCTCTTTTTTGGCAGTTTTAATCCATTGTTTATGCCCTAGGGAACAGCTACACGGAACATATATTCAAATGCAAAGCTAGCTTCAAACTGCAGCAGCTACAAGTCAAACACCTTGAAAGCATGCTCCAATATGCATTAAGGGGAATTGAGCACATCAATCAAAATTGAGGGAGAAGTCCAATAATATGCATCAAGGAGATGTTGACAAAGTGGAATGTGTCCAGAAGAGGGTGACTAAAATGATCAAGGGTCTGGAGAACAAGCCATATGAGGAGCGGTTAAAAGAGCTGGGCATGTTTAGCCTGTAGAAGAGAAGGCTGAGAGGAGACATGACAAGGGCCATGTATCAATATGTGAGGGGAAGTTATAGGAAGGACGGAGAAAGCTTGTTTTCTGCTGCCCTGGAGACTAGGATGCAGAACAAGGGCTTCAAACTACGGGAAAGGAGATTCAACCTGAACATTAGGAAGAACTTCCTGATGGTGAGAGCTGTTCAGCAGTGGAACTCTTTGCCCCGGAGTGTGGTGGAGGCTCCTTCTTTGGAGGCTTTTAAACAGAGGCTGGGTGGCCATCTGTTGGGGGTGCTTTGAATGCGCTTTTCCTGGTTCTTGGCAGAAAGAGGTTGGACTGCATGACCCATGAGGTCTCATCCAACTCTATGATTCTATGATTCTAAAACCCAAATACAAAGCCAGCAAAACAGCATTGGAATGTGTTGTTGAAGGCTTTCATGGCCGGAATTACTGAGGTGCTGTGAGTTTTCTGGGGTGTATGGCCCATGTTCCAGAAGCATTCTCTCCTGATGCTTCACCCACATGGCAGGCAACCTCTGAGGATGCCTGCCACAGATTTGGGTGAAACGTCAGGCAAGAATGCTTCTGGAACATGGCCATACACCCCAGAAAACTCACAGCAACCCACTGCACTGGAGTGGTTTGTAACATTTGGAACACGAGGACCTGCCAGAAAAAGCCCCAAGGGCATATCTAGACAGAGAGGCCAATTGACCCTTAGGACAGGTCATTTATTATCTCCACTACTAACTGGCATTTTCCTTTTTCCCTTCCACCTCTCAAATCTCCAGAGAACTGGTGCGCATCTCACCAAGGAAATGGGAGGAAATCCCACTTGGCTGTCTAGCGATGGATGGTGCAGATTCTGGACCAAACTAAGGCCACATTCTGTGGTTATTGCAATCACATTCCTGGCCTCAGAAATGTCAGTCTAAACATCTGCATAGCAAAAAAGGTTTTGCTAAACTGGTTCCAAACCAACCTAAGTGGTCAATGTAGAAGAGCCCCGAGTCTCTAGAGCAGCAGATTATATATTATATTATATTATATTATATTATATTATATTATTTATGTTATATTGCCCCGGTGATGTAATGGGTTAAGCCCTTGTGCTGGCAGGACTGCTGACCAATCCAGGGAGAGCGGGTTGAGCTCCCTCTGTCAGCTCCAGCTCCCCATGTGGGGAAATAATAATAATAATAATAATAATAATAATAATAATAATAATAAACCTTTATTTATACCCTGCTACCATCTCCCAAAGGACTCGGTGCGGCTTACAAGAAGCTGAGCCCAAATACATCAGTAAAAAAGCAACAACAGCAATATAGACAATAAATAAACTCATAAACAAAGCAATAAATAATAACAATAACACCACAGCGCATTAAAAACCTATGAGAGAAGTCTCCCACAAGGATGGTAAAAACATCAAAACATCCGGGCATCCCCTGGGCAATGCCCTTGCAGATGGCCAATTCTCTTACACCAGAAGCAACTTGCAGTTTCTAAAGTCGCTCCTGACACACACACACACACACAAATCAGCACCTTTCATTGCAGGCAATATTTTAACTTCAGATATTTAAAAATGTAATGCCTAAATAGCAATGAGGTATATTATTTTTATATAATCTTTATTGAATTTAAAATTTATCACAATAAAAAAATCAAATGGATCTTTGGGGTATAAAGAAGGGATATAGAAAATCATGAAAGTAAGAAAAGAAAAAGAATATAGCATGTAGAGAATGGAGGGTAGGGGGTAAGAGAGAGAGAGAGAGAAATATAGTGTTAAAAGAAAAAAAGAGAGAGTGTGTTAAAAGAAAGAAAATTGAAGTATTTAAAGTATTAAGAGTCTCTTGACTTCCTGGTATCTTCAAAGAGGAAGCAATGAGGTATATTATTAGTGGCCCAGGACTTGGGATATGTGGGCAGGGGCGGCTCAACCATTACGCAAAGTAAGTCTTTGCAGTATAGTTGATTTTGCCCAGGGGCGCTCTTGAGGCGCTCTTGGGGAAAATAGACCTTGACATATGCGAGTTGTAGTTACTGGGATGTATAGTTCACCTACAATCAAAGAGCATTCTGAACTCCACCAATGATGGAATTGAACCAAATATGGCACACAGAACTCCCACGACGAACAGAAAATATATATCAGTGATTGGTTGGGGGGGGGGGCAAAATACTCTTTGCTTACCGTTGAAAATTACCTAGGACCGCCTCTGTATGTGGGTTTCAAGATCAGACAGAATTTAGGGCTTTTAAGACCTTGTGCAGGGTTAATTGATGCCATAATCCTGGAAGTATGGCTTTGAAGCAGACAGAAGTCTTCTTGCAGGATACTGGTGATCTTGCAGGATACTGGTGATCTTGGGCCGTTCACCACTTTACTTCTTAACCCCCCTTTTATTTTATTTCCTTGCCTTTATTCCTAGGTGCCTGTCAGAACGGAAAAAATGGCTTTGGCTATGACATTGCCCGGTGATACCTGCATCCTTCGAACCAGAAGTGGATTGATGGGAAACCTGCCTGCCTGCTGACTTCTAACTGCATGCTGGTGGCTGTTGTTTTACAGAATTCAAGTTAATCTCTTCTCCCTTATTTATGCTAGTGGACACCCATCACTAACAGAGAGCAAACTATATGGAAGGGGAAGAGTTGTACTGGACTGTGTGTATGTGCTGTCAAGTGACCTGTCAATTTATGGAGAACCCACGCATTTCGTAGGGATACTCAGAGGTGGTTTGGACAGTTCCTTCCTCCGAAACACAACACATAGATTCTCGTATTTGTTGGTGCTCTTCCCTCTAAGTATTAATCAGGGTTGACCTCGGTTAGTTTCCAAGATCAGATATAATCTTGTGGCCTTGGGGTATTTAAGCCCTTCTATGGGATGAATTAATGTCATATTGATGGAAGTGAGCTTTGAAATCAGAGATCTACTTGAAGCATTTAAGGCCAATGAAAAAATAGTGACTACAAAGCACCTTTAAAGTGCTCAAAATATTATAATCCCCTATGTAAACTCAATAATAAAAATAGTCAGCCCTCTACATTTGTAGGTCTAACATTTATGGATTTGATTATTTGTGGATTGGTCAACAGCAAAAACTGTGTTGAGGGACTTGGAGATTTGTAGAGGTATATTTTGAGGTTGAAAGTCAGCTTTTTAAAATGTGTGGTTTCACTTTTGCAGGACTGTACTATTCTCTACAGCAGTGTTTCTCAATCTTCCTAATGCCGCGACCCCTTAAGACAGTTCCTCACGTTGTGGTGACTCCCCAACCATAACATTATTTTTGTTGCTACTTCAGAACTGTAATTTTGCTACTGTTATAATTGTAATGTAAATATCTGATATGCAGTATGTATTTTCATTCACTGGACCAAATTTGGCACAAAATACCCAATATGCCTATATTTGAATACTTGTGGAGTTGGGAGGGATTGATTTTGTCATTTGGGAGTTGTAGTTGCTGGGATTTATAGTTAACCTACAATCAAAGAGTATTCTGAACTCCACCAATGATGGAATTGAACCAAACTTGGCGCACAGAACTCCCACGACCAACAGAAAATACTGGAAGTTTTTTGGTGGGCATTGACCATGAGTTTTGGAGTTGTAGTTCACCTACATCCAGAGGGCACTGTGGACCCAAACAATGATGGATCTGGATCAACCTTGGCACGGAGACTCAATATACCCCAAATGTGAACACTGGTGGAGATTGGGGAAAATAGACCTTGACATTTGGGAGTTGTAGTTGCTGGGATTTATAGTTCACCTACAAAGAATATTCTGAATCCCACCAATGACAGAATTAAGCCAAACTTTCCACACATAACCTCCATGCCTTGAAGGGACTTGTTGGCGTGAGACTCCTTCCAGCCTCACACGCTCTCCCTCACCCCGCGTATGAGCACCACACAGCCATGCGCCGAGCACGCCTGCTCTCCCCTCCCCACTTGGCGTCTCAGAAACCCCTCCCCTTGGCTGAGAGTTGCCAATCGCAGTGGAGGAGGGCTTTTGGTGGAAGGATTCACCGTCTGTTTCCAAAAAGGAAGAGAAGGACAGGCAGAGAGATCTTCAGTCTTCTGTGCCAAAGGGGTTCCTAAGAACATCAGAAATATATTTTCTGATAGTCTTTGGCGACCTCTCTGAAACCCCCTCATGACTCCCCAGTTGAGAAACGCTGCTCTACATCAAGTTTAAGAGTGCATATGATTGCTAATGTTTGGTCCTAAATATCTAAACATGATTAATTATAGCTGAGTTGTATCCCACTTTAAAGCAAAGAGATATCCTGCCCAGCATGTTCTTTAAATAGTCTCTGGTTCCCCACTACCATGCTGTGGTTTCCTTGCCAAGATGTAAAACACTAATTTGTATTTCTCCCTCTTTGCTTCTCCTTAACACACTGCCTCATGCTGTAGTTGCTTGGTTTTTCCTCATTCCCCTGTATAACTTGAACCCGTTCCTCTGTTGAAGCGAGACATCCTTGTAAGCTAACTCAACCTGTACAGTTCCTTCAAGACGAAAAGTATCCTGCTCTTAGCCACTTATCTTCATATTCTACACTGCCTATTTTTATTAATTGATTTATCTAGCTTGAGACTCCTGCCAGGATGGTGTTCTCCATAATTTCTCCAACTCATAAATAATTTATGGACTGCACCATTATTGGCTTTTAAGAGAACTCTATGCATGGAGGCATTTTGCTAAACAACAGAATAGTTGGATGGGGAATCTCTAGGTCTAAAATGGCCTGCAGCAAATCCCTCTACAGGATTCTTCCTTTTTGGATGCCTTGCGTTTTGACAGTTTCCTCTATCAATATTTTGAAATTACTGCCCAATACCTTTTTGGACAATTATGCTGGGGAAAGTGGAAGGCAAAAGGAAGAGGGGCCAACCAAGGGCAAGATGGATGGATGGCATCCTTGAAGTGACTGGACTGACCTTGAAGGAGCTGGGGGTGGTGACGGCTGGCAGGGAGCTCTGGCGTGGGCTGGTCCATGAGGTCACGAAGAGTCGGAGACGACTGAACGAATGAACAACAACAACCTTTTTGGAACCCTCGGTGGAGCAATTGGTTAAACCGCTGAGCTTCTAAACTTGCTAACAAAAAGGTCGTAGGTTCAAATCTGGGGAGTGGCATGACTTCCAGTTGTTAGCCCCAGCTCCTGTTAACCTAGCAGTTTGAAAACATGCAAATGTGAGTAGATCAATAGGTACTGCTCCGGCGGGAAGGTAACGGGGCTCCATGCTGTCATGCCGGTCACATGACCTTGGAGGTGTCTATGGACAACGCCAGCTCTTCGGCTTAGAAATTGAGATGAGCACCAACCCCCGGAGCCAGACACGACTGGACTTAAGGGAAAACATTTACCTTTTACTGTGTTATATTCAACCCTTGGACATTGCTTTGGGGAAAGAGGAAATCTGGGTTCTACTTAGGCAATTTGTCTGCTGCATGGTTGATCTAATAAAGGTATGTTCACTGAGATCTGTTTGAGAGCCAGGTTTCTTTGAGTAGGTTCACCGCTTGGAAAAGTTATCCTTTAGAGACGGGAATAACTGAGCTTCGGCTGGCTAACGGAAGCAACCCTTCACACAATTTAACTATGTAAGCTGGAAAAGGAATTTTACCAACCTCTATCTAATCCTTGGACAAGCAAGGAATAGTGATATTTGTAATTCTTTCCTGGAAACACACTATCCTAGCTAGATGGAAGTGACCCATGCACTGAGGAACCTAGTATGTGTGGCAGCATGTCTCTTTTGGGGTTCGCAAAGGAGAGTCATGCTACCTCCGTATTCTGCCTTGGTCAGACCACACCTGGAATCACACTGTGTCCAATTCTGGGCACCGTAATTGATGGGAGATCTTGACAAGCTGGAATGTGTTCAGAGAAAGAGGGCAACTAAAATGATCAAGGGTCTGGAGAACAAGGCCTATGAGGAGCAGCTTAAAGAGCTAGGCATGTTTAGCCTGCAGAAGAGAAGGCTGAGAGAAGACATGATGAAGGCCATGTATAAATATGTGAGGGGAAGCCATAGGGATGAGAGAGCAAGCTTTTTTTCTGCTGCCCTGGAAACTAGAATGCGCTGCCTCGAGTAGCCTGAGGGCTGAGAGGAGCGATATACAAATACAGTAAATAAATAAACAATGGCTTCAAACTACAGGAAAGGAGATCCACCTGAGTATGAGGAAGAACTTTCTGACTGTGAGAGCTGTTCAGCAGTGGAACTCTCTGCCCCAGAGTGTGATGGAGGCTCCTTCTTTGGAGTTGGAAAGAGACCTCATGGGCCATCCAGTCCAACCCCCTGCCAAGAAGCAGGAATATTGCATTCAAATCACCCCTGACAAATGGCCATCCAGCCTCTTTTTAAAAGCTTCCAAAGAAGGAGCCTCCACCACACTCCGGGGCAGAGAGTTCCACTGCTGAATGGCTCTCACAGTCAGGAAGTTCTTCCTCATGTTCAGATGGAATCTCCTTTTTTGTAGTTTGAAGCCATTGAGTGTGATTTTCCTGCTTCTTGACAGGGGTTGGACTGGATGTCCCATGTGGTCTCTCCCAACTCTATGATTCTAATGGTTTGAACACTGGACTACATCTCTGGAGGCAAAGGATCCAATCACTATTTGACCATGGAAATCCATTCAGTGACCTTAGAGGAGTCACACCCTCTCATCCTCAGAGGAAAGTCATGCCAAACCCATCCTGTACTAACCTTGTCAAGATTAGCTCACTCTTCAAAATGAAGTTCCTTTGTGTTTTCTTGAACTGCTGTGGTCAATTTTAATTGTTTTCTTGTTCCAGCTTCCATTGGAATCATAGAATTGGAAGAGACCTCATGGGCTGTCCAGTCCAACTTCCTGCCAAGAAGCAAGAAAACTGCATGCAAAACACACCCAACAGATTACGTGTGGCCTTTGCCTTAGTAGACACGGAAGATTCCAAAATAAGGGGTCATGTTGCTCAATCCGAATCCTCAGGCTACTCTTGGTGATTCCAGCTGAGACAAGGTTATGAATGGAATGACAACTGCAGCCTCCAGCCCTGCGGGTAACCCATGATGGTTGAATGAAAAGTAATGCCTCCACCTTCATTACTTGGGTTTGGATGGGAATATTTTAATAAATCAAATGCAGAAATAATCCTTAGAATGTGCTCTTTAACTACCACTATTCACTTTTCCACATAATCACCAGACAATTGGATACATTCCTGCCAACAATGAACATGTTTTCTGAAGCCATCACGGAAGAAGTTGACACATCGTGCACAGAATTTTCTTATAGCCAAGCAAAGCAATAATGTGACCCACACGTTCTTGTGAAATTCCGATTATGCTTGAAATTTCTCTCTGAGTGATATGACTATTGTCTTGAATCAATCTGTCAACCTTTTGCTTGTGAAACTCGGTGGTTGCTGTCACAGGACGTCCAACTCTTTGTCACACAAGTCAGATGTTCCCACCTCAACATCTTTAAACTTACTCGCCCAACGATGCACAGTACTCACATCAACACAATCACCATAAACAGCTTGCATTCTCTGATGAATCTCCTTTGGGGCACCTGCTGTCAAGAATTCAATGACTGCACGTTGCTTAAGTCGCATTGACCGACCGTCTGCGCAGGGTTCCATACTTTACACTTTAACAACACAACCGTTCAATGCTAAGGCTTCCCACCAAAATGGAACTGTAGAGGAGTCTACTGAACAAGCCAGTACCTGCCGCATACCAGTACTCCCATCTGTTGAGGAGTTACGAAGGTAGAGGCATTACTTTTCATTCAACCCTCGTACTTTACGGACTTAAAACCACAGCTTTATCATTCCAAACAGAACTGTTTGGAATGATAAAACCCAGACTCTCAACCAGCATTATTCTGGAAGTTGTAGTCCAGTTTGTAGTTGTTTGAGCGCTGGACTGACTCTGGAATCCAGGATTCAAATTCCCATTCACCCATGGAAGCCAACTGGGTGGCCCTGGGCAGAGGCTTCCTCTGAACAAATCCTAGCAAGGAAACCCTGATAGAGTCGCCATAAGTTGGAAATCACTTGAAGACACACAACCAAGTCCAGAACAATTTCCCATCTTCTGTGATTACTGACTCTCAAGTTTATTCTTGAAGGATCCCCCTGAACAAAAGCCAAAAACAGGAATGCCTTCAATGTCCATGTTTTGAATAATGCCTACTTCAACGAAGTGGTTGGTGCTTGGGTGTACTGCTTATTTATTATTTACTTACAGTATTTATATTCCGCCCTTCTCACCCCAAAGGGGACTCAAGGCGGATCCCAATGCACACATTCAATGCTGTTTTTGACGTACAACACATACAGACAGAAAGAGGTCATTCAGCAGTTCCTTCCACTTCGGATCCTGCAGGTTGCTCGATTCGGCCACAGGAAGAGCTGTCACTTCATCCACTATGACATCCAGCCTTTTGATCGTAGCATTTCCTCCTTGCTCTCTGGCATTTTTATAGCGTCATAAACCTCCCTGCTTTAAGCGAACCCTAATTTCTCTACTCACAGCTCAGCTGTTTTCAAACTGCTTAGGTGAACAGCAAGCTGGGCTATTTAAAGTCAGGAGCTCAACCCCGACTCGGGTTTTGAACTTGCCACTTTTTGGTCAGCAGTGATTTATTGCAGCTAGTGATTAACCAACTGTGCAACCAGCCCTGTTGTGATTAGAGCAGAGATAGAGAACTTCTAGTCTCAACATGACATTATTTCACATATCTAAACACAGCTATCTTATCATTTCTTAACCCTTTCTTCTCCAGGCTGAACATATTCAGCTCCCTAAGGGCTCATAGAGCCTGGCTTTTAGAAAGTTGAGAATTATTACATAGGAACAAAAGGTTAAGGTAGGGTTTTGCTCCTTCTAAGGTACTGGTTCCCAACTTTCTTTTTGACCAGGGACCACTTTGACCAGGGACCACTCTCCAACATTAGTACCAAAAGGTTACAAATCAGTTTTTGGTCAACTTTAGATTCGGTTTGGTTATTTGGGGTGCTGATTCAGAAAATTGCATTGGATAGACCATATCAGCTCTAGTTTCTGATACAGAACATATGGCATCCAGTAGTTGCCATCTGCTCGCTCACAGAAAAGCATAATAAGCCTCGGCACTATAAGAGGGCTTTGCGAGACCAGTCACTCTCATTGCAGCGGTGTCGTAACGGTGAGGCCACAAAACATATTTTAGTTCTTGCAGACCACTGGTGGTCCATGGACCACATCTTGGGAACCACTGTTCTAACGTATTTAATAATGCCTTCAGGTCACTCAGGAATGGTACACATGGTTGCCACACAGGGCTTGGCCAATTGTAGCCCTCCGAAGGTTGTCGTACAGCAGATCCCATCAGTAGTACAGAAGTCTGATGGGAGTTGTCTATCCTCTCCAGAAGGGCTTGTTCCATAGAGATCAGACATCCACTGATGATACCAGAGGGTCAAATTATATGATAGTGGCCACTATTTGGAAAATAGAAACTGGCTTCTGTCACAGCTGGTCACTTTGAAGGTGCTTAGCCAAGATGCTATAGTCGAGGACTCATTTTTTCAGGTATTTGGGCATATAACTTCCATATTCCTGAACTACTTTGGCTCTGTGAGACTTGCCATCCTAAATATTGTGGGGGAGTAAGGTGCCAAAGGTTCCCAGTACTGTTCCTTACATTCATCCACAAGCAAGTAACTCATGGCTCTTGGGCTGGTCCTCAAGCTCCCAATAGGCTCAGCAGATACCACCATTTGCTGGTATGGTGGGAATTAGAGTCCACCAGCCATAGTGTTTCCACTGTTTTCTGGGAAACGACAATGCTAAACCCAAATATGGGTTATTACTTTATTACTATTGCTAATAATTCAGGATTCTTCAACCAACATACAAATTATAGCTAAGGGATTCTAAGTGTACATCTGGAATTAATGCACTCTAACACCGGTTTAACTGGTTCAATGCTATAGTATCCTGGGAATGGTAGTTTTATAGTCTTTTGCCATCTCTGCCCAAGAGTGCTTCACACTACAACTCCCAGGATTCCACTGCATTGAGCCATGCAGTTAAATTTATTTATTTACAGTATCGATATTCCGTCCTTCTTGCCCCAAAGAGCACTCAGGGCAGATCACAATGCACACCTACGCGGCAAACATTCAATATCATTTTTAGACATACAAGACAGACAGAGGTATTTTACCATTTTCCAACTTCAGCACATGGAGGTTATCCTCGATTCCGGCCACAGGGGAGTGCGGTTGCTTCATCCACCATGACGCTGAGTCATTTTGATCGTATTTCTTTCTTGTTCTTTCATTGCTGGTATTTTTATGATGTCGTAAAACACCTCCCTGCTTTAAGCAGTACCTAATTTCGCTACTCACAGCTCAGCTGTTTTCGAACTGCTTAGGTCAACAGTAAGCTAGGCTTAACAGTTGGGTGCTCATCTCTGACTCAGGCTTCAAACTTGCCACCTTCTGGTCGACAGTGATCTATTGCTGCTGGCAATTAACCAGCTGTGCTACAGCCTGGCTCTATACTGTAGATCAGGGGTCCTTAAACTTTTTAAACAGAAGGCCAGATCACAGTCCCTCAAAACTGTTGGGAGGGCCAGATTATAATTTGAAAAAACATGAATGAATTCCTATGCACACTGCACATATTATTTGTAGTGCAAAAAACACTTAAAAACAATACAATAATTAAAATGAAGAACAATTTTAACAAATATAAACTTATTAGTATTTCAATGGGAAGTGTGGGCCTGCTTTTGGCTGATGAGATAGGATTGTTGTTGTTGTTGTTATGTGCTTTCAAGTCATTTCAGACTTAGGTTGACCCTGAGCGAGGGACAGGTAAATGATCTTGGAGGACCACATCTGGCCCATGGGCCTTAATTTGAGGACCCCTGCTGTAGATGCACCTTTTGAGTATATTGTCCCTGAAACCTAACTTTTCCATGTTCTATCTTCTGCACCACCAAGTTGGTTTTTACTTGCTCCTTTATTTTGAAAGAAAAGTCCTAATTCTAGTAATTGTAAAACCAGAGGTGCTGAAATGGACGTGTGGTTCATGCTTCTACCATTTCCCAAGCGGTCTCTAACCCAACAGGTGCTAAAGAGAGAGGAAATGATTAGGTGACACCACACAGACACAGGGCTTTTCTGCAAAAAGAGGTAGAGTAAGACACAAGTGCAATGGAGGGGGAATTGTTTGAGGGCCTTTATTAAAAGCAGGAAGATTGTAGGAACATGGACTTGGTGATGCCCCTCCTTCAGTCCTCATTTCTTCCCCTGCCCCACACTCTCCCCTCTCCCTGTCCCCAAGGAAGAGTGTTGGGAAGGGGAGAATATTGGATCTCCAACCAGACTGAAGATAGAAATAGCAAGGACAAAACTCTAATGAAGGCAGAAGAGCAGCAGAGGCAGTTCTTCACCCTCCTGGAACAGGGAATATTTGGCAAAACCATAGGGCTTTCCATGCTCCAAAGGACAGTGCCTCTCCCAAAACTGCTTCCTGAGCACTCAGATTTTCCCACAACTAGCCAACGTCCCTTCTCCTGTCCCACAAAACAGCTATCTTCCACCTGGTTTTGCACTCCTGCTCTCAGAAACAGATGGTTGACTTGGCTCTCGCTTTGGGCTGTCTCAGCAGGAGATAGTGGAGAATTTAGCAGCCCCCACTGCTGTGACCTCCATCCCAACATCCTAATAGGCAGGTTCCCTTGATGTAGGATGACTAATCCCTGCCCATTAGGTAACCTCACTGAGAAATGTGGTCTGGTGACTTCTGTCATGTCTAACTCAAACACTTCTTGAGCTGTCCAATGCTGTTCTCAACCTGGTGACTTCCAGAATAGGTGTACTGGAACTCCCATATTATGGGGATTTCTAGTCCACCACATCCTAAGGGCAACGAGCTAGAGGAAGCTGTCCTTGCATCATCCAAACTCTTCCTGGCTTTGCTGCCTCTCCGTTTTCTACCAAAAAAGGGAGGACACATGCACCCCCTTGGCCAAAAATGGAGGAAGGGGAGTAGAAATTTATGCCCCCTCTCCTTCTGCCAACTTCAGTTATACAAAGGAGAGGGGTTGCTACATTGATCGACACTGGCCATCGGATAAGTGCACCCTTGCCTGCTCCTTTGGGGTTGAAGGCTCTTCCCCAACATTGAAAGGACCAGATGGAGTGAAGTTTCCTCAAGAGGCAAGATTGGCATCAACTTGTTTTCCCTCCCTCCCAGGAACCACTGTTTCCATTCCTCCCTGCCTCCCAAAAGGCCAAAAGTGACCCCCAAGCAAGGCTCTAGTGGGAAAGTCAACATGATCTCACTCCCACAGAACATTGTTCCATCCCTGTCCATGCAGGTGCCAAAAGAGAACCCACATTCATCCTTCTCCACCCCATTTGGCCCCCTTTTGCTGAGGGGATGAGGCTCCGTCCATGATTTTATTGAAAGTCTTCCATCCTTCTGAGCAAGCCTTTGGAGATACCTCACCAGAACCTCCCCATATTTAGAGATTCAGATGGTTCAATCCAAGTCATCCTTCTATTCCTCCTCAAAGGCTGCTGGAGTGATTTGTTCCAAATCTGGCTCCTTCACTGAGTGGATCACTCAACGGCACACTTTCATTGTGTTGCCGATCTGTTTAACATTGCAAAATTCACAGTGACTTTAACACTGACGTCCGCAGTCCTTCCTCCGGATCTCGTCTCTTCTCCCCACCCCTCTCCAGTCCACAGCTCCTTCTTCAAGATTCAAGGAGTGCTTCGGTTTTTTACAGTGCCTATTGAGCAGCTCCGTCCTATCCTCCCCCAGACGGGGAGTGGAGTGGTTGAGTCCAAGAAGCTCAAAATGGAGCAGTTCAGACTAACAAAACGGGGCATATGGGGGAAGAGAAGGAAACACCAGCAGAGAGGAGGAGGCTGGGAAGGACCATACCACCTACACAGGAGAAAAGAGGAGGAGGACCAGGAGGGGAGAAGAGGCTAGACTTCTGGTACAAAACTCAAGATGGTAACGGGCGTGGCTGGGATCAACTCTGCTCACGTGGCTCCTCGTGTATTTGTGTGACCATGTAAAGCTCCACCCCAATCATCATCACCACCATCATCATCTTCTCCATGCTTGATCATAGTGTGGACGCTCCCCTCAAGACGCCTAATCCATAGCTCCTGGTCCTGGCTTTGCTGCTGGGGTAGGTGCCGCACCCTCTTCCATCCTGGCCCAGTCTCCATGGCTGCCTGTGGGCGTGCGCTGCTCCCAGTCCCACCCCGTAGCACTCTAGGGCCGGAAGTTGGGGAAAGAAGTAGGAGAAGGGGGTCACTGGGGGGCACCCAGCTCCACCGAGAGCCCGTCGAAGGCAACAAGCATGGCCTGGCGCACCTGCTCCGTCAGGGCCGGCACGTCGTCGGCGCTGAGCCCCTTCGTGGGCATGGGAGGCAAGATCTGGACCGTGCAGCGCCCTGTGCCATGACATGGGAGTGGTGGTTGTGCCAAGAGACCCATTGAGATGGAAGGAGAAGAGAGAAAGAAAGAAAGAAGAGAGACATGTCTGTCAACATTTTTCAGGAGCAGTCACACTGACCATAAATCAAAATCCAAAATCCATTTTGCAGTGGTACTTTTATTAAGTCAACAAAAGGTGCAAAATATGTCATGCTTGTTGGAATTCAACCCCACACTGCTCAGGTGTCAAGTCCTCAACGAGGAGAAATTAGTTAGTTTAGTATAGACTAAGTCTTTCCATTCCCCTATGTCTCCTGAATGACAGTTGGGAATGCATCTATTTTGTTCTCTCTCTGTGTTTTTTGCTCTCATTCTAATTTGCAGTTTAAAATGGATACTTTTCGACTGCAAGCTTTTTTGAATCTGACTTCTGCCTTCTTATACTTTAGCATGGAGAGTATGTGCTGTGTGCTTTGAGATCTCTCTCTATTTGTGTGTCGGAGAGATGATAGAAGATAGACGTTTTGGAGAGGGATGAAATGTGCAGACAAACCTAATAAAGTGCCTTTAGGGACATATTGCTGGGAGTTTCCTTATTCTGAAAAGGCACACTGAAACAACCACATTTTCAGGCTCCTCCTAAAGACTGCTAATGTCCTTGGGGAGTGAGTTCCAGAGTCGAGGGGCCACCACCAAGAAGGCTCTCTCCCTCGTCCCCACCGATGGTGGTGGGAGCGCGAGCAGGGCCCTTCCAGATGATCGAAGAGATCATGTGGGTTCGTACACAGAGATGCGGTCACGCAGGTAGGCGGATCCCAAACCGTTTAGGGCTTTGTAGGTAAGCACCTGCACCTTGAATTGGGACCGGTAAATGAACGGCAGCCAATGGAGCTCCTTAAACAGAAGTTTTTAAGGTTGAACACTATGAAAGCCACCCACTACATGGCTACCAGCCTCCTCCCAGTAGACTCCTCTTGGCGTCCCCCCAGCAACAGCAAGGGTATCCCTCTGGGCAGCTAAACCTGGAAATCCCAAGTGGATGGCCCCCCATGTGGGTCTTCCTCCAGGGGCAAACCAAGAATGGGCAACTTGGAAGTCCCTGAACAGACTCAGAAGGGGAGTGGGAAGATCAAAAGACAACCTGGCAAAATGGCACTACCTAAAAGAATCCCACACCTTGTGTGAATGTGGAGCACACAACTCCGTGTCTGTATGCTTGCCCACCATGCTCTGCCTCATGTACAGGGGAAGAATTGTTAGAGGCTACAGACAATGCCATTGCTGTTGTCCGTTTTTGGTCAAAGGATATTTAGCCATCTGCGCTCCTTCTATTTTTATCAATTTTATACTAATTTATGCAATGCTTTGATATGAAATAATAATAATAATAATAATAATAATAATAATAATAATAATAATCTTTATTTATAGGCCTGCCACCATCTCCCCTCAAACACTTAGGGGGCTAACATGAGGCCAAGCCCAACAAATTCAATAAGTAAATAAAATACATACAACAAAAATAAAGTACAAGCAGTAGAAACAATAAAATACAACAATGAAATAAAAATAACACAGTGGGATAAAAGCACCAGGTATGAAATAAAATAAAAATTAAGGGTACCGGGTTAAACGAAGTGGGCTGGACCAGATGCAAGGATAAAAAAACAAGGGGACATAGGGTGAGATGGGAAAACTGGAGTGATTTATCTGGTGGGAGATACAGGAGGGGCAAGTTATGGGGTTTAATTGCCCGCTAGAAATAAGGTGAGATGTAGTGGAAATGCATAACATATTAATTCAATGGCATTAGCCCGTACCTGTTTCAGGTAATCGTCACCTGGGTGAAAATGTATGCCATGCTAATATGGAGGTCTTACTATAATTCTTATTATAATTCGGATTTACAAAATTTTTCATGAACTGCTTACCAGTCTTGAGACCTATGCTGCTTCAAAACGGTTTTGGGGCCCCAACTACTACTGTTTGGGCCTTCACTCCCAATACAAGGAGCACTAAATGTTGGACTCTCACCTGTAGTGAAGCGTCTTTCCTTCTTACTGTAGAAATCCCGATACGATGAGATCACGACTGGGATGACAGGAACCTGAAGGGGACCAGGCGCAAGAAAAGAGGGAAAATTAAACATACAAGAAAGAGTGAACAAACTGAAATTGAATTCAAACAAGACAGAGGTCAGTCACAAGGCTGAACAGGGTATAGGGTTACAGCCTGTTCTGGATGGGGTTACACTCCCCCTGAAGATGCAGTTTCGCAGCTTGGGAGTGATCATGGATTTTTCTCTGAGCCTGGAGCCCCAGGTTTTGGAAGTGGCCAGGGGAGCTTCTGCACAATTTAAACTTGTGTGCCAGTTGTGCCTGTACCTTGAGAAGCCAGACTTCGTCACAGTAGTCCATATTCTTGTTACATTCTGAATAGACTACTGCAATGTGCTCTACGTGGAGCTGCCTTTGAAGACTTTTCAGAAGCTTCAAGTGGTCCAACGTGCGGCAGCCAGATTTCTCACTGGAGCGGCATACTTTCAGGCCATCTAATGCTAATCAAGGTGGCCAATGGAAACATTCACACCTACCGCCAACAGACAAGAGTTCTTTCTCCCACCCTGGACAATCCACAGATATATAAATCCAAATTTCCTAGTTTCCAACAGACCTCACAACCTCTGGGGGTACCTGCCATAGATGCAGGCAAAATGTCAGGAGATAATGCTTCTAGAACATGGCCATACAGCCCGAAAAACCTACTACAACAACGAAGGTAGGATAAGCGAGACTCTACTGTAAAAACATGGCTCTGGGACCAAACCTTTAGCCAATAGTGCAGTGCAATAAGTGAAGTGGAATTATGTGCAATATGTCTTTGCATTATGTGATTTTAATAATGTGTTATAGTGTTTTATTGCTTTTTTAATGTATATGTTTATGAGGTATTTTATTATTTGTCTGTTGATATGGCATCAAATTGTTGCCGATTGTAAGGCTGCTCTGAGTCCCCTTCGAGGTTGAGAAGGTCAGGATATAAATACACACACACATATATATCTATATCTCAACAACATTTTCCCTTATGCATGCAAGTGACATTACAGATTGAACATCCCCTATCTGGAATTCTGAAATACTTCACAGGTATGCCTGAAAGAGACTCCTGCTTCCCCTTGGTTAAATGTACACAAACATTTGTTTCATGCACAGAATTGTTTTTAAAATCCTAAAATATATTGTGCATATAGCTATGTCAGGCTGGCTATTAGGAATGGTGGGAGTTTGCCCATGCCTGGGCCATGTGAACAGTATGTATATGAAACATAAGTAAATGCATTTATTTATGTTTCATATACAAGATATCTCACTATGTACATGCAAATATTCCAAAAAATTGAAAAAAAATTCCAAAAACGCAGAACCTTTTCTGGTTCCAAGCATTTCTGATAAGGGATGCTCAACTTATCACCCATGGACAGAAATGACTGTCCCACTCTTTGCCCTTTTTACCTGCGCTTGCACAGCCAGGTGGAAAGCGCCCCTCTTGAAGGGTAGCATAGAGCCACTGTGATTCCTAGTGCCTTCTGGGAAGACCCAGACCCGAACCTGCAGAAAAAGCAAGAAGGAGTGAATGGATACCATTCAAAAACTATGGGTCGTATATATGCAAATTGCTGGCGTTTCTCAGGAGAAAGTGCTTCTGGAACATGGCCATACAGTTTGGAAAACTCACAGCAACTCAGACCTAGAGATTTCTAGAGAGAACACATCTTTAGGAACCTCTAGATCAGTGCTTCTCAACCTTCCTAATCCCGCGACCCCTTGATACACTTCCTCATGTTGTGGTGACCCCCAAGCATAACATTATTTTCGTTGCTGCTTCATAACTCTAATTTTGCTACTGTTATGAACTGTAATAAATATCCAGTATGCAGGATGTGTTTTCATTCACTGGACCAAATTTGGCACAAATACCCAAAACACCAAAATTTGAATACTACTGGGATTGGGCGAGGGATTGATTATGTCATTTGGGAGTTGTAGTTGATTTTATTTATAGTTCACCTACAATCAAAGAGCATTCTGAACTTCACCAATGATACAATTGAACCAAACTTGGCACAAAGAACTCCCATTATCAACAGAAAATATTGGAAGGGTTTGATGGGCATTGACCTTGAGTTTTGGAGTTGTAGTTCACCTACATCTAGAGAGCACTAGGAACTCAAACAATGATGGAACTGGCCCAAACTTGGCAAGAATACTCAGTATGACCAAATGTGAACACTGGTGTCATTTGGGAAAAATAGACATTGACAGTTGGGAGTTGTACTTGCTGGGATTTATAGTTCACCTACAATCAAAGAGAATTCTGAATCCTACCAACAATAGAATTGGCCCAAACTTCCCATGCAGAACCCCCATGACCAACAGAAAATATTGTTTTCTGATTGTCTTTGGCGACCCCTCTGACACCCCCTCGTGACCCCCCTAGGGGTCCCCACTCCCAGGTTGGGAACCACTGCTCTAGATCCTCCAATACGATTCTATGGTCAACTTCTAGCAAAAATTGACCATAAATTCATGCTGGAAGACATAGAAATTCCTAGAGAGACACTTTGTAAAGATCTTGCTAATTTAAGAGTTTAATTCCATGTCAATGTTAGGATTTCTACATTTTAGTATACTGATCGTCCATGTTTTTTTAGATGGGTTAGCAACCAGGATACTGTCAAAAACTAAAATTGGTTACAAAGCACAACCCAGCCTTATATTTTTAGATTGCAAATGCAAGGCTGAGCACTAGATGGCACCAAGCCGACAAAGAGAAAAAACTGTGTTGACAGGGTGAAAAGCAGCATGGCTGAAAGAGCGGACCAATAGTTGAAAGTGTGGTATATGGCTAGAATTTAAATCTGTTGAAAGAGCGAGGGGTCCAAAAGTGAAGCACGAAAAGGCATTGCAATCCTGTATTGGATAGTAATGCAGAATAACCACAGGATGTCTCAAACCTACACCTATTGATAGACTATTTATTTATTTATTTATTTATTTATTTATTTATTATTCGAACTTATATGCCGCCACTCCCCTGGGGTTCGGAGCGGCTTACAAGAATGGCTAAAATCTAACACAATTTAAAAACAATTTAAAACAATTTAAAAACAGCAATATCACAAATCAAAGGGCTGTCGAAACAGGTATGTCTTACATGCCCTGCGGAAAGCTGATAAGTCCCGCAAGGCTCGGACTTCAGGTGGCAGAGTATTCCAGAGTGATGGTGCCACTGCTGTAAAGGCTCTGCGTCTGGTTGCTGTTAGACGCAAGGTCTTGACACTGGGAATTTCCAATAGATCTTGGTCCTCAGAACGGAGGGATCTCTGGGGTTGGTAGGGGGTGAGGTGGTCCCTCAGGTACATCGGCCCTAGACCATGCAAGGCCTTAAAGGTGAGTACCATCACTTTGAAGCTAGCTGGCATTGTACCCCCCCCCCCCCCAATGTGCAACAGGAAGTTGCTGCTAATTGTGAGAGAAATAATAATAATAATAATAATAATAATAATAATAATACTTTATTTATACCCCACCTCCATCTCCCCCGAGGTTGAACACTGTGAAAGCCACCCACTGCATGGCTATCAGCCTCCTCCCAGTAGACTCAAATCAAGGAAAAGATTAATGAGAACAACCACTCCTCTTAATGTCCCCCTAGCAAAAGCAAGAATATCCCTCTGAACAGCTAGACCAAGAAATCCCAACTCGGTGGCCCCCCATGAGGGCCTTCCTCCAGGGGCAAACCAAGAATGGGCAACTTAGAAGTCCCTGAACAGACTCAGAAGTGGAGTGGGCAGATCAAAAGACAATCTGGCAAAATGGCACTCCCTAGAAGAATCCCCCACCTTGTGCAACCATGGAGCAGAACAAACAACTCCACATCTGTATTCTTGTCCACTGTGCCCTGTCTCATGTACAGAGGAAGAATTGTTGGAGGCTACAGACAATGCGGTTACTGTTGCCTGTTTCTGGTCTAAAATTATTTAGCTGCTTGTGGTTCCTCTATTTTATCAATTTTATACTTATTTATGCATTGCTTTTAACACAAAATATTAAACAAATAAGTTGCAGTATAGTGGGAGATGGAGGTTGTCAGGTGCAACAGCAATCTTTCCTAAATGGTTGTTCTGATTTCTGCTCAAAAGGAAAAAATGTAATTCTTCTAACAAAAAAACCTACAAAAGTCTCTGTCCATTTAGAAAGTATGAACTGTCAGCCTCTTGCGGCATCATTGATTTGGCAACCATTTCTACCAAGGAAAGAGAAATGTTTGTGCACTCCCTTGCTCTTTTGAGTGTAATTCTATGCTATGTTTGGGCTAGGACTTAATTTCCTGCCTTCTGCTTGCTATGCAACACAGCTGTAGGGCCATGTTTTGCATCTGGCTATGTCCCTGCAGCCAGACACAAATTGTATTCAATGCATTGTCGAAGGTGCTCGTGGCCGGAATCACTGGGTTGTTGTAGGTGTTTTGGATTGCCATGTTCTAGAAGCATTCTCTCCTGAGGTTGTGATGCTTGCTATAGATGCAGACGAAACGTCAGGAGAGAATGTTTCTAGAACATGGCCATACAGCCCGAAAAACCTACAACGCACAAATTGTGTTGTCTATAGATCTGGAACAGCAGGTGGTGCAATGGGTTAAACCCTTGTGCTGCTGAACTGCAGTTTGTATCTGTGGGACAGGCTGAGCCCCCGCTGTTAGCTCTCGCTCCTGCCAACCTAGCAGTTTGAAAACATGCAAATGTGAGTAGATCAATAGGTACCACTTTGGCGGGAAAAGGGAAAAAGATGCTCCATGCCAGTGGTTCTCAACCTGGGGTCCCCAGAGGTTTTTGACCTACATCTCCCAGAAATCCCAGCCAGTTTACCAGCTGTTAGGATTTCTAGGAGTTGGAGGCTGAAAACATCTGGGGACCCCAGGTTGAGAACCACTGCTCCATGCAGTCATGCTGGCCACATGACCAGGAGGTGTCTATGAACAATGCAGGCGTTTCAGCTTGGAAATGGAGAACAGCATCTCCCCCAGAACCAGAGATGAACACTGCCTCCAGAGCTGGAAATGAAAGGAGAAGCCTTTGTCTGTGTCTTTGTGTCGCACTGTATTTCACAAGACATCGAGTCTTTGCCTGTGTCTGTTTATGTGCTGTAATCCGCTCTGAATCCCCTTGGGGAGAATGGTGGAAATAAAGTGTTGTTGTTATTCTACCAGAAAATAATAACCTCTTTGCTTGATTATTGTTATTTTTATTGTACACCACCATCATATCACCTGGGAGACTCAAGATACCTTACAAATTAAAGTAGATTAAATTTGTATGATATCTAACTCCACTAGGCATGGAATGGTTGCAACGAGTGACTCTGTGTTAGATCCAGATGAAAGGATTTTGGGATTCAAAGTGAAGAAGGGAATATCAAACTCTGCATCATTCCTGAAAAGACATGCACTGGGATAAAGCCAACTTGGGATGCTAGGTTGGTGTGGCAGCAATGCCAGTGGAGGCAGCAGTAAGTAAGCCCTGCTGAATGGAGAGCATTTGTCAGCTTAAGCTGCCTTCTGGCACCAGGCCCAGATCAAAGGCATTTGTCACCCTCTGACTTGGTCAAGAAAGCAAATTCTAGGCTGAATGGCTGGCGTGGCCCAACTGGATTTCTCCCACTTGCCTGCCCACTCACAGGATATACAGGAAGATGCAAGATCTAACTGGGTGCCAAGTTCTGCCTCTGGGCAGAGACGACAAAATTGGGCTTCTGCTCCACCTGCTATCAAGACTCACATTTGATTATGTTATAATCAAAGCAGCGACAACACAGATGTCATAACAATGACACACTAATAACAGGGAGAATTCATATCATCTCCATAATCTCACAGGAGCTCCTGAGCTTGGAAACTCTATCTTATAAGCACTTTTACAATCTGGCCGAGGTAAGAATCATAGAATCAAAGAGTTGGAAGAGACCTCATGGGCCATCCAGTCCAATCCCCTTCCAAGAAGCAGAAAAATTGCATTCAAAGCACCCCCGACAGATGGCTATCCAACCTCTGCTTAAAGGCCTCCAAAGAAGTAGCCTCCACCACACTCCGGGGCAGAGAGTTCCACAGCTGAACAGCTTTCACAGTCAGGAAGTTCTTCCTCATGTTCAGATGGAATCTCCTTTCTTGTAGTTTGAAGCCATTGTTCCGTGTCCTAGTCTCCACGGCAGCAGAAAACAAGCTTGCTCCCTCCTCCCTATGACTTCCTCTCACATATTTATACATGGCTATCATGTCTCCTCTCAGCCTTCTCTTCTTCAGGCTAAACATGCCCAGCTCTTTGAGCCACTCCTCATAGAGCTTGTTCTCCAGATCCTTGATCATTTTAGTCGCCCTCCTCTGGACACATTCCAGCTTATTGCAGCTTGTTCCAGCATGCAGCAAAGTTATGAGTTTCATCAGTTCTGCAATGCCACTATTTTTCTGTAGGCAGAAAGTCTGTGTAGAGATCTGGGGTGAGCACTTTCCTACCAACCGTTTTGTTTTCTTTTACCAAAATTCACCAGTTCCCACTTGCCTCACATGTTTTGCTTATTCTGTATGGGTTCTATATTCTCCTAGATGGACTGTACCAATAAGAAACACCTTGGAGGCTTAACACCAGCGTAATATTCCATTACAAGAGTGTTTTGAAAAGAGCGTAACTTACTTTTGGGAGAAGCGAGGGAGCCAGCAGGGAAGCTTTTTTTGCTTGACACAGGAATGATTTCCTATGCCACTCTTTCTGGTTACTATTTTGCTCTTTGGTCAGGAAACAAGCATCACGATGAAAGCACAGAAATATTCTGAAATATTGGTTGTACAGTAAGATCCCTGTGTTCATGGGGATACTTCCCGGATGGACCATGGTTACGTGAAACTGTGGGTAGGACTAAGGGCCCTTCCACACAGCCACTACATAACATGGTAACATTATGTAGTAATTACTGTATTTATGAATTTAGCACCAAAACAATGTCCTTTCTGTTGAAACTGTCCACATACTTGTGGATTTCAATGGCTTCTCTATGTAGTCTGACATGGTGGTGAGAGTGGTCCAGCATTTCTGTTTTCTCAAATAATATGCTGTGTCCAGGTTGGTTCATTAAGTGATTTGCTATGGCTGACTTCTCCGGTTGAAGTAGTCTGCAGTGCCTTTCATGTTCCTTGATTCATGTTTGGGTAATGCTGCGTTTGGTGGTCCCTATGTAGACTTGTCCACAGCTGCATGGTATATGGTAGACTCCTGCAGAGGGGAGAGGATCCCTCTTGTCCTTTGCTGAACGTAGCATTTCTTGGTGGGTCTGTAGATAGTTTGTAGATTGTGTTTCCTCATCAGCTTCCCTATGCCATCAGTGGTTCCCTTGATCTTTGGTAAGAACACTTTTCCTCTGAGTGCAGGTGAAATATGGAACAGCCCGGAAAACACACAACAACCCAGTATGGCCAATGTCCAGAGATCGTGGGAAACACAATAAAGGTATCAGAAAATTACTGTCTGCACTACAGCTATCAGCAAGCATAGCCACCAGGTTAACCATGCTGACATATAGAATTTTTAAAGATGCAGTCCAGCAAAGGGAAACTTGCTATGTTCCCATTGCTGCAACCAACATCTGGGTATATATAAACCAGGGATTATTTCACCTCTTCCAAACCCTTCCTTCCACCTCCAGCTCTCCCACAATTCCCAGCAATCCCCAGTCCTCCAGTGAGACTTACATCCTCAGTCAACATTGTTTGGGCAGCTTCTGACATGACGTTGATGGCGTCGTCTGTCTTCTTGCGGTTGATAAAGATGATGCCCCCCAGCCAGCACGCCAAGCCCACCGTACCCATGTACATCAGTTCCTTCTTGGCAATTGGCACGCACCGATCTGGCAGAATCTCCATCATCCCTGTGGGTGGCGGAAAGAAAAACAGGAGTTAGCCACAGCAGCAGATAGAGAGGAGACCCTGTGGTGTTCTGGACACACTAGATATACCAGGTACGGGCCAACTTAGGCCCTCCAGGGGTTTTGGACTTCCACAATTCCTAACAGCCGAAATTTGACAGCAATTCTTCCAGCAGATTTTGAGTTATGATGTCACTCAAAACGAACAGAGCATATAAAGATATAGATATACATTTATTTATTTATTTATTTATTTTTAATATTTGTACCCCACCCTTCTCAACCCCCTGGGGGGACTCAGGGCACCTTCCAATCGGCAGTAATTTGAGGCCTCAATATGTACATAATAAAAACAGTCAATAATTATAAATAGTTAAAACATTAAAACAATACAATTAAAATCTACTAAGAATTACCACTCTGGTGGCCTTTATTTATTTATTTGCAGCATTTATATTCCGCCCTTCTCACCCTGCAGGAGATTCAGGGCGGATTACAATGTACACATATATGGCAAACTTCCAATGCCAATTAGACATACAACCTATATAGACATACACAGAGGCTAACTTTTTCTAGCCGCCAGGGGAGCTGTCGCTTTCATCGTCCATCTGCGACACTGATGAAATACTTCCACATTCCCCGCATGCTTTGCTGGAGTGCTTTGCTGGAGTCTTTTTTTATGATCTCATAAATTAGTTAAATTAGCCTCCCCACACATAGGTGGTACCTAATTGACAGATGCATCTGTCTTTTGAATTGCAAAGGTCAACAACAAGCTACACACTTGATCGGACACTCACTCCTACCCGGGCTGACTTCGAACTCATGACCTTTTAGTCAGAGTGATCTTAATGCAGCTGACACTCAGCCAGCTGCGCTACAATCCCGATGCTGAAAACTGTGGTTGGATTCATTCCACTTGCATCTCTGCCAACCAAACCTCTGAAAATGCCAGCCACAGATGCAGGCAAAACATTAGGAGAGAACGCTACTGGAATACAGACATACAGCCTGAAAAACTCACAGCAATCCAGTGATTTTGGCCATGAAAGCCTTCGACAACACATAGAACTACATAAGATACACCTGTGATTCTATGACGCACCCCCTTTTTAAAGGGGTATTTTCAAAACAGTAAAAAAAATATTCCTGTAAGTCGACTGTCTCTCTCATAAATACATGCATAACATGACATTTGTTCTCTTCACGCTCCCTCCATGCCCATTTCCTCCCATTTCCATCCTTTTCCATCAGACGTACCGAGCAAGTCAAGCTCACTCTGGTGGTTGGACACAATCACATAAGGCTCCTTGATGGTGAAGCTCTCTGCCCCTCGCACTTCGATCTTGACCCCGTACAGGTATTTTATATGCAGCAACATGAATCTGATGATTCTGGAAGTTAAAGAAAAAACGAGAAAACCGATTTGTGACATCCTGAATTCTTACACCCAATTTCCTTCCTCAATACGCCAGCTGCACCCATACCTCGGGAAGTCTGACTTGGCCACGGTAGTCCACGCTCTGGCTACATCCCGTTTAGACTGCTGCAACACTCTCTACGTGGGGTTGCCCTTGAAGACGGCCCGGAAGCTTCAATTGGTCTAACGTGCGGCAGCCATGTTACTAACAGGAGCGGGACGCAGGGAGCATACAACATCCTTGTTGTACCAGCTCCACTGGCTGCCGATTTGCTACCGGGCTCAATTCAAGGTGCTGGCGTTGGCCTATAAAGCCCTAAACGGTTCCGGCCCAAGATACCTATCCGACCGCATCTTGACCTACGAGCCCACCAGGACTTTGAGATCGTCCGGGGAGGCCCTGTTCTCGATCCCGCCTGCTTCACAAGCACGGCTGGCGGGGACGAGAGATAGGGCCTTCTCGGTGGTGGCTCCTCGGCTGTGGAATACCCTCCCCGTGGACATCAGACTGGCTCCTTCCCTGATGATATTCCGCAGGAAACTAAAGACTTGGCTGTTCAAGAAGGCGTTCGAACAAGAAGTGCAATAATTGGTAATGACGACAGGAATGGAACAACAGAAAATGATACTGGTTTGTGGTTTAGACGATGAGACGACGCGGAATGGCTTTTGTATTATTGATGATGTTTTTGATGATGATGTTTTTGGTTAATGCTGGATTGACTATTTTAGATTGTGTCTTGAATTTTGAACCTTGTTCTTTCTATGTTGTACACCGCTGTGAGTCGCCCCCGGGCTGAGAACAGCGGTATATAAGCAAAGTAAATAAACAAATAAATAAATAATAGTTAACTTTTCCCAAGAGATGCATTTGGCCGGGACAAGAGACAGGGCCTTCTTGGTGGTGGCCCCCTGTCTGTGGAACATGATCCCCAGCAAAACTAAGACAGCTCCATTTACCATTTATTTATTTATTTATTTATTTATCATATTTAGATACCGCCCCTCTCAGCCCAGAGGCGACTCGGAGCAGTTTACAATTGGCAACAATTTGATACCTCAACAATCATAACTCATAAAATACTATTAAAAACATTAGCATACAATATAAAAATATGAAACCGTACAAAGCCTTAAAACACTGTCATGAGCATCTCCATGTCAAGTCATTATTCAATTGCGTCATCAAGTATTACCATGATTTCGTACAACTATCTCTCCATCCCTCCTTTCCTTTAGGAAGAAGCTCAAAACATGGTTTTGGGACCAGGCATTTGGGTAATAGGCTTGACAGCAATCACAATATTTTAGAACGGACTATGGACAGGCTTTGGACTGGGTTGTTGGTCGCTTAATTGGACTCAGATATGGCAATATGGTTGATAATAATGTTTTAAATGGATTTTAACCTAATGTTTTTATCCACTCTGTTATGTCATGTTGTATTGTGTTTTAGTATGTGTTGGCATCGAATTGAGAAAGACGGGGTAAAAATGCTAGAAATAAATAAATAATCTCAAGACTAGTAAAACTAGGAATTCTGGGTTCTTTTTTTAAGAACCTTTAAAAAAAATCAAAGTCCTATTTTTTATTAGTTTACTTAAGACAACCCTCAGATATAAGAATAACATCTGAGCCTGCTATGCTTTAAGCAGTGAATTCACATTAAAAAAACCAATCTAGTATATTGTTTTGTTGTTGTTGTTGTTCATTCAGTCGTTTCTGACTCTTTGTGACCTCATGGACCAGCCCACGCCAGAGCTCCCTGTCAGCCGTCACCTCCCCCAGCTCCTTCAAGGTCAAGCCAGTCACTTCAAGGATGCCATCCATCCATCTTGCCCTTGGTTGGCCCCTCTTCCTTTTTCCTTTCATTTTCCCCAGCAATCATTGTCTTCTCTAAGCTTTCCTTTCTTCTCATGATGTGGCCAAAGTACTTCATCTTTGTCTCTTCTATCCTTCCCTCCAATGAGTAGTTGGGCTTTATTTCCTGAAGTATGGACTGGTTGGATCTTCTGGCGGTCCAAGGCACTCTCAGAACTTTCCTCCAACACCACAGTTCAAAAGCATCTATCTTCCTTCGCTCAGCCTTCCCTATGGTCCAGCTCTCACATCTGTAGGTGACTACAGGGAATACCATTGCTTGAACTTCGTTGCGAGTGTGATGTCTCTACTCTTCACTATTTTATCGAGATTGGTCATTGATCTCCTTCCAAGAAGTAAGCGTCACCTAATTGCCTGGCTGCAGTCTGCGTCTGCAGTAATCTTTGCACCTAGAAATACAAAGTCTGTCACTGGCCTCCACATTTTCTCCCTCTATTTCCCAGTTCAATCATTCTTGTTGC